GAAGCTATGGCCCTGCAAAAGAAATAGCAGCACACGCAAATCAGTGATGGCTTTGGCTGAATAACACGGTCAATGATGGACCATTAGGGCAGTGGGGTTGATCCTTTCCCATCCAACTAACAAAAAGTAGTGGGTTTTGAGCTGACCAGCAGCTTCCTGCTTGTTCTAATAAAGTATGAAAAATTGAAGAGCCTCAGTGATGGTTCCCTTCAATGGTCAGTTGAAAACACAACTGAAAACAAAAATCTCAGGAATTTTTGTTAGGTAAAAAGAGGTTTCATCAATGTGGTGGAGCCCCATGTCCCTGTCCGCTGGCCTGTGGTTACGTTAGGGGTCATTGTCTTTTTACGAGTCTTGGCAGCTTCATTGGGGCCAATCAGTGATAAATCCAAGTCATAATAATTCAGATCAGAATTGACTTCTATGTAATAATGATTATAGGTTTCCTTTGCAAAGCCAAATCCATCTTCCATCTACTTATACTTTGTTTTAAAATTTATTTTTAATTTGCCAAAGCTTGATTTGATACAAGGGAAATTTTGTCATTTAGGTCCAAGGAGTTCCATTTGAAAGTTTCAATCAATTGTTTTGAAATGTCAAAATCCGTTTAGCCAGTTTTCCCTAGTTACCAATATCTTTTCCACAAACTAAACCAATTAAAATAGCTATAAGTTTGCTATAAATAATTTTATTTGTCTGGAGTCGTATGTCATAGCAGAAAATTCAGTTTCTTTGACCTAAATAATATAGCAACTGTGGATCAAACTTATCCCATGTATCAATTTCAACTAAAGTTAATAATTTAAATTATAATATGATGATATGATATAAATATAATATAAAATTAATAATAATTTAAAATTTTAATAATTATTATATAAAATATAAAAAATAAAAAAATATATTTTATATTTTTTATATCGATACGAATTATAATACGTAATTTTCGTATAAAATAAAATATGAATATATAAATTTTAATATTTTATATAATACAAATAAATGAATCATTAGATCTAATCTTAACCCTTGATCTAGTTCTAAGAAACCCCCGGAAAATAAAGTTACCACGCATGAGATTTTCTTCCGCCTTTTCCTCGATCTTTCAGCTTCTTGCCAACCAAAAAAAGAAAACAGAAATTATCTAACTAATATATATCAAGCAAAGCACCTAATAGTTCTTGATTAAGTAGCAATAATTTTTCAAACTTGGCTTATTAGATGGTAACTCTGGTCTTGGTGGGGTCTTGCATTTTGTGGGTATGAACAGAAAGGAAAAGATTTTGCAGTTGCCATTCATGGCAATGTCAATTGTCATGGGAGAATGTAGGGTCTATGTCTATCTGTTATGGTCCTTCTTTCTTGTTTGCTTGTGGGGGCTGGGTTTTACTTTTTTGGCACTTGGTTTTCAAATTTCTCCCTGGCATGATAATGACCCAATAACTGTTGAATGGCGATTATTTAAATTGCTTTTTTATTAGTTTTTCAATTTCTTGTCCAATGATGTGGTCGGAATCCTGCTCGGACGTAAAGATGGTGGGGCATCTGGGGCTGTGCGACCCTTGTTCACGACGCAAGCCAACACCTACCAACTACTGCCAATCGAGTTGCCAGGAAAATTAAGGAAGATAAAAGGGGAATTGGGATTTAAAATCTTGCATTATGTCCTGTAAGCAACTAAAGTTGGCTAGAAATTTCCAATCAATTGGAAGCAAAATCCAACCAATCATATGTACTAGATATTGCAATTGAACGTGATTTTATACTTAATTTGACTACTTTAATAGATGAGAAAAAATTTTAATAATCATAAAAAATTATAAATATATCAAACAAATCAATAAAATTAAAAAACTCATAATTAATTTCAACACAAACAAGTAATCATCTATTGCAAATCAATTTCAACTAAAATAAAAATTATGAGTACTCTCACTAAATCTTTATAAGTGCTCTATTCAATATCTAATAATCTCAAATCAAAACATCAAACAATTACTCTTGTAAACACTTCTTTAATCTCATGAAATATGTTTAAAGTGTTTATACACTCAATCTTGATTCTTATAACTTTTTTTTTATACCTCATATTCTCACTATTTATAATCTTTCTCATCAAGAATTCTTTTTTATTAGAATTTTTGTTTAATAAAAAATCTTATCCATGAAAAAATATCTTTAGAAATTTTAAAAATATCTCAAAAAATATTTTCTAAACCTTTAAATTTTATTCAATATTCCTAACAATTCTTTCATCTAAGATTTAAATGAGAGTAAAAACCTTGATTGAAGGTGAAAAAAGTGACATTCCAACATTTGATTTTAAGATAAGTGTATGCTTATTCTTATTCAATTAGTATGAGTTTTCCTTTCCTCTCTCTCTCTCTCAAAAAAAAAATAAAATTAGCTCCTTGGATTTTTTTTTTTTTGAAACTCCTAATCTACCCTAAAACCTTCCCTATCTTACTACATACTTAGATGACAGTATGTAATCTAAATCTAGTTTGATTATGGAATATATATGAAGAAGATTATACTATATCTTAATCATTAGACAAATGTCTTTTTTATTGCTAGGATATATATATATATATATATATATCATCTAATTTGCCATGTCTTTCTCTACTCCTATCCAAGGTCTACATTCAAATCCATCATCTCATTGTTGCAAAGAACATACTAACAAAATGTATAGTCATTTAAGAAATATGCTCAATGTTCCCAAACCTTCCAGAAGATAATAAAAAATAATAAAGAAAATCCAAAAGCAGGTTTGCTTAAGCCGATAAGATACATTCATGGCTGTCAGCAACCTTTGTATTCTTAAAGAGAAGAGAAAAAAAAAAAAAAACCATAGCTAGTGAGAAAAGTAATAATTCACCTAACATCTTAGATTGAGGAGGTAATTGGTAAGGAATTGCCGTCGCCTTAGTGCGAGTCTTCAAGTTGAAGAAGAGTTTGATGACATTGGTAAGTCAATAACAGACAGAAATAAGAGCTTTGCATTTTGCAAATTAAAATAAAGAAATGATTTATTTTTTTTATGTATTATCAATATATAAATTTTATACACTATCAATAAATTAGATGATATCATTTAATTAATAAAACAAATTCGATTATGTCATCTTATTAATAAATTAAAATTTTTTAAAATATTAATTTTTATATATTTATTTTAAAGATCGATATTTGTTTATTAATAAAGTGATATCATATGATTTGTAAAATGAAATAGATAAATTCTTTGGACAGGTCATTTTCCACTATAATCCCTCATTTGAACTACAATTATTTGCAATAATCAAAGTAATTAATTATTACATGAAAATATGCAAACAATTTGATAATTAATGTGACTCAAGTGGGATTTTTTTGGTGGTGTGGTCACATTCATGCATTCAACTCTTCCATGCCTTTGGTTGGCTGCTTACCAATTACATTAACCCAAATGACAATTGCTTTATTTCTAAAAAAAAAAAAATGACAATTGCTTTACAAAAAGTTGGAAAGTTATCATCAAATTTCTTTAATTTATATATATTAATCTTCTCCTATCTCATACTAATATTGAGCTTCTCATCCTTAAAATGCAAGTTTAATATTTTTAAATGAAAAGATAATCATAAACTTTAACCATGAAAATATCTCTTCTCTTGAAGATAAAAAAGGGATTACAAGTGTTAAGATTTAAATTTTAAATTTATTAAATATTATTTTTTAAAAATTATTGAATGAATTAACTGAATTAAAATCCGTATTTTCAAAACTAATATTTGTAATTATATATACATGCAAAGGAAGCATAGATAGCCACATAAATCATATGCCAATTTCCAAATTTTAACCTTCTACCAAGTACAGTAACATCATATGCTAAAATTGATATCTTCTTTCACATTTTCTCTAAATAAAAATCAATGTTGTTAATATTGTATCGGATAACATTTTGATTTTTTAAAAAAATACGATATATATTGATATTGGTTGTTTCGACATATTATTTTGATTTTTTTGATTTAATACAAATATATTTATAAACATATATGAACTTATACATTATAATATTATTAATAATCTACAAAATAAATATGTAATATATTCAAAAATCAAATAAATAAGTCTAAAAGTATAAGAAATAATATCATAAATTTTTCATAATATTTGTAAACACTTAATTTGATCATATGATATTTAAATAAGTATTTTTCATATAAATATTAAGATAAAAAAAGATGAAAAAATTAATTAAGACTTTATGATTGTTAAACTTTATAAAAGAAGTATAATTGTTTTTTTGAAAAAAATTAAAATATTTATAAATTTTGGTTTGAAAAAATAAACTATAAAAAAATTAAAATAAAAAATAAAAAAACTTAACTTTTAAGGGTTATTTTATCAATTAATTTTATTTTTATTAAGTTAAAAATATAATAAAACATAAGTTAAAAATTATAAAATATATTTCACATTCACATACCGGACGAAATATGTTATTTTATTAAAATGTACAGAAATAGGCTGAAACTAATAAAAACAATCGGTATTATCATGTTCCAAATTGGATACGAAAAATCATTTTTAAGTGTATCGTATTTTAATATAACTGAAATATATTAACCGATACAGTCAATTTTGAAATAAAATTAACAACTATGATAAAAATCCAACTTTAACAGGAATGTTGATACGCAACTAATCATAAAATGCATCGAGAATCATCAAGAGCCAGCAAATATCGATATATTTTATGTTTATAATCTTGTAATTTTAGAAAAATTAAAAAATATATAAATAAAATTTTATAGTTTAATTATTAAATAACAAAACTTTCTTTTTTACATCATTCGATTCTTTCAACCAAACAAAGCATAAGGTAATTGCCGAAGATTTGCGGTTTTGCTCATTGGGCATTTTGCGAGCATACATTTTTCTTCTGGGTCTGACTTAGCTTACATCTTTTGGGTTTAAAAGCATCGACTTTGGAGTCTTGACCCAAGAAAAATAGAATCTAATCGGATCCATAACAGTTTATCCAATGAAATCCTGTTAGATTTCTCCATTAGGTTTGGCCCAGATATTGATCGTGTCTTTAGACACCAACCTCCCTACAAAATGCAATCAACTAGAGATGGCGGTGAAATGATCGCAGCTATCCGCATTCTCTCTCTTCCGTCGACCAAAACCAAACTATCGAACACTCTCCAAAGTTGTCATAACCGCCTCTTGCATCCGCTGCTACACGACGCCATCGCAACCAATGGACGACCAACAACAACCAGGAACAACAAAGCGAGTGGTGGTCTGCGGCGGCGGCATAATCGGTGTTTGCACGGCTTATTTCCTCGCCAAGAAAGGCGCCTCCGTCACTCTCGTTGAAAAATCCTCCGTAGCCTGTGCCGCTTCTGGAAAAGCCGGCGGATTCCTCGCTCTTGACTGGTGCGACGGTGGTCCTGTCGAATCACTTGCACGCGCTAGCTTTAATCTCCACCGTTCACTCTCCGAAGAACTCAACGGCCCCGAAACGTACGGCTATCGTCCCCTCACCACTCTCAGTATTTCCATAACCGAATCGGAGCCTTCTTCTCCGTCCGGTTCCTATTCGTCCATTGACTCTAAAATACCGTCTTGGGTCGATGGACCGGCACGTGGGTCTCGAACGATTGGGTCGACCCGAACGACAGCCCAAGTACATCCTCAATTATTCACAAGAACTCTGTTAAATACGGCTGTCGAGAAACATGGTGTCGAGGTGGTGATTGGGAAATTGGAGCAGGTGCGGGTTGAAGAGGGGCGTGTTGGATCGGTGGTACTTGAAGATGGACGAGTTATTGAGTCTGACTCGGTTGTTTTGGCACTTGGGCCATGGTCTGGAAAGTTTGAGATGTTAGCTTCGATGTTCAGAGTTTATGGGCTTAAGGCACATAGTATCGTTTTGGAGCCCAAGGAGCCTGGTGCTATAACGGCTCATGCCCTTTTCCTTAGCTATCATCAACAGGGTGGTAAAGCCATGGATCCCGAGGTGTACCCTCGTCCAACTGGTGCGTTCGACAGTAAACTTTTGATTATGAACTATCTATAATTGTAAAGCAATTTCAGACACAAACAATTTAGCTTATTTTTGTTTATAAAATTGTAAATTGGATTCGTAGGGGAGGTGTATTTATGCGGGATGTCTGCGGAGGCAGAGGTGCCAGATGATCCAGAGCAAATAGTAGGCAACCCAGAATCGATAGAGATGCTAAAGAGAGTGGCTAGAAATGTTTCGAGCCATCTGGCTGAAGGAGAGGCGCAAGTGAAGGCAGAGCAAGCTTGTTTCTTGCCATGTACCGACGACGGTGTGCCTGTGATAGGAGAACTTCCAGGGATCAAGGGGTGTTTTGTGGCTTCTGGTCATAGTTGTTGGGGGATACTCAATGGTCCAGCTACTGGTGCTGCTGTGGCTGAGCTTGTGCTTGATGGACGTGCTAGCATTGTTGATCTTAGTCGGTTTAGTCCTGCTAGATTTGTTGGGCGTAGAAGCATTAAAGTTTAAATTGTATTTCATATACCAATTTTATCGAAGGAAGCTTCACATTTTAGTGCCTTGTGTTGTGAGTTCTTGTTAATATGATGAGCATTGGGATATCACCTGTTGCTATGTGATGGTTGATACAATGAATTATTGAAACTGCCTCCTTCGCTACATCTACATAAAAATAAATATATACACAGAATGTAAGAATCAGTTTGTGATGGAATCTCTAGAAAGTAATCGATTTTATTTTCTAATTTCATTCCAATAAGGGCAGAGAAAAACACTACTTTGCTCTTGCAGCAGCCTCAAAAATGTGGTTGAGCTCTGTAAGTTATCCCCTTTCGTCGACATTCGACTACCTATTTATTTGCACCGTTATGGGTTATTTGTCTCCAGGTTAAGTTCCAGGCCCAGGAAGCTAAGGTTTGGCTGCAAAGAACGGATTGGGAAAGGGACATATTTTCATGATTATCGTTTTGTGGACAAACAAATTGGGTTTTTTTAGCTAGACCTGGGTCGTAGGGGTTTGGATTGCAACAAGAGGCCCATTAATAATAACAAGAAAAACCACTAACAGGGAAATAGGAATTATTCAGGACGCATGTGAAACCACGTGCGCACAGGAAGAGCAAGGCAAAACCTATAGGCGCCTAGTGACTTGAAGTTCTAATTTTCCAAGGAGCATTTTCTTCTTTTCCAAGCTTATACATTTCCCATTCATTAAGGAGCTAGAGTGAGTTTTTTCAAGTCCAAGATCAAAGAAATGTTTTTCAAACCCATTACATCAAAGCACATTTAATACATTTTGGAATGTTCAAAGGCCAAACATCTGTTTCCATTATATTAAATTTTCTGTCATGTTCAACTTGAAAGAAAAATCAGTTTGGAGTTTGGAATATTAGATTGTATTAATGGCATTCACATTACAACTCACAAGATCAAACTTGATTCCCCAATGAAATGGAATTTATGAACCCTAAGCAGTCTTAATTAAAAATTAGATTCTTCAATAATGTAATCCCATGTTTCCTTATCCCACTCTACGACAGAACTCAAGACAAAAAACTACTGAAAATCCAACCAAGGCGTTGACAAGCTGCCTCAAAAAGTTGGGTAACAAGCTTATGGTAGAAACTATTAAACCTCGCCGAAGGACCCGGTTGTACTTTAAGGCTCATTATTTGAAGCCAGGCCATACCTTACCAGGCCAGGCTTATTCACGGGGCTAAGTGAATCTCCATTAATTAACTGATGAATGAGTTCATTTCCCTATGTTTCTAGAGATGGTAACAAGTCGGTCGAAAAGAGATTTTATTTGTCCTGATTTTATATATTTAATATTTAAATTTGATTTGATTTGATATTAAAATATTAATTTTATATTTAAATTTGACTTGAATAATATATGTATATAATTATAATTGATTCAATTTGAAATGAAATTAATAAAATATTATTTTTTAAATATAAATATAAAATATACATAATTAAATAAATAATAAAAATATATTTTATATATCAAGTCAGAGTGATTTATCTAAAATTCGATCTCTTCTTCTTCACTTTCAACTTGACCTAATTTGTTCCAAAATTCTATTTAAAAAAATCAAACCTATAGAACCAAATTAGAATCCAACAAATTCAAGTTGGATTGCAAAATCCTATTTGTTTCTCCTTGTATATGCAGATAAAAAAGAGTGATTAATAATAAGTGGCTAAGCATGTGGGATTACATGTTAGTAATAAAAATATAAAAATATTATTTTTATATTTGAATTTGATTTGATTAGTATATGTATAAAATCATAAACAATTTGATTAAAAACAAAACTAATAAAATATTATTTTTAAAATATAAATATATAATTAAATAAATAATAAAAATATATTTTATATATCGAGCCGGAATAAATTTATTTAAAGTTTGATTTAACTTTTTGTTTATTCTAAACTTGATCTAATTCGATCTAAAATTTAATTTAAAAAAATTAATCTTATAAAATTGAATAAAAATATAATAAATTCAAGTTGGATTGCAAAATCCTATTTGTTCCTCCTTGTATATGCAGATAAAAAAAGAATGATTAATAATAAGTGGCTAAGCATGTGGGATTACAGGTTAGAATCAACTTTTTTGAGGAGACTGGACTTGGCTTTTTAATTCTGTGAGACAAAAATAGGGCCCATATGAAATGCCAATCAACTAATAAAGAGTGATGAAAGAAAAGGAATGGTTTACTGGGACAAAATAGCAGGAGCCATTGTCCCAACAGGCGCAGAAGATTGCAGGAGTTTGGCAAACCTAGTCACAGTCTCCCGAATATCAACCAAGGAAAAGCTCAATTATTTGTTGCATGCATTAAATAAGGGGTGCTGGTACAATTTTTTGTCCAAAAATTTTTGCTCTACAAAAGTTTAAGGCCAACCAAATTTCACCCAAAAGGAACACATTGGCTGTTTTTATATCCCATTCCATCATATATCAAATCAATCATTGGGTTGGCATGTGAGAGAAGTATCTGCAAAATTAGCAATAAAATAAATTTATTATAGTACCATGATTTCCTGATTTAATAAGTGTTCATTTAAAATTTATACAATTAAATTTACCATATCATTAATAAAATTAATTTAACATAAAATTTTTATTAAATTTTTTAATCACAACTATAATAATTTTTTAATCATAATTATAATAATAATAATTTTTAATTTCATAATAATTAATCTCATTATTTATCAAAATAGAACCTAAGTCTACAAATTTAGGCAATGAAATTGCTCCTTCAAAAATCTTCTGTGTCTTATTTAGAAAATTTCAGTCTTTGATCTTCACCAAAAGCTCCATTTCTAATCACCTCAGCTGCAGAATCCCAACTCTCAATTCTTGGCTCTGAACTCATAATTAGGGATGGAAATTCAACCCCGATCTCGGCGGGTTTCCCGTTCCGACCCTTAAATGTTTTTCTCCCTTCTTTTTATGGAACTTTCCAACGAATAAGGCAGGAGTTGGCATGAAATAATTTATGTTTTTTTTACTGTTAAATGTGTAAAATATTAATATATTTTTAAATATGTATAAAATATAAAATTATAATATTATAATTTGTGTTCATATATAAACACAATATTTTTTTTTATATTTATCAAAATTTTAAATAATATTATTTTTATATCACCATATTATCTATCAAAATTATTAAGGCACTCACACAAGCAAAACAGTAAATATTTATCAAGCTAGGTAATTTTTCTAAAGTCGTTTTAACTGAATGTATAATGGCTAGCATTTTCTCGTTAGAAAGCTTTTGATATAGCACTAACTTCTTGGTTGTTGTATTCTGGCCATCAAAAAATAAACCTGTTTCATTATTCACCAACAGGCAACATGTAGTTTTGATTCTGGTAATGGTAGTTTAGGCCAAAAAAAACTTGCTTCCATATGTTTATAAATTAACTTTAAGGATTGGGTGCTTTGTACCTGCTACATAGCAAGCAATGTCTAGAAATTGATAGAGTTTCAGGTTTTCGTGTCAATGAAGAGAGGGAGAAATCAACAAGATCCGTCCATTTGGGACATGATGTTTTTTCACCTACAGCATTGAAATTTCCTTTGTTTTTTCAATATTCTGTTTCAGTATTTTGCTGCGAAATTCATCCAAAGCAAAAATGAAAAAAGATGGAAAGTGAAACTGTAGTAGACATGATGCCAATTATTGTTAACTTTTATCCTGTTGCTTTCATTTTTTTTTTATAGCTAATGGTTGATGTTAATTGGCAAGCTGTCAAAATCTTTGACCAAAGGGCCTGGTGGATCCAGATTGCTCTTTTCAAAATTTTCTTTTCATCTTCAAGAAAACAGCCATGGGCCAGTTCCCACACCTGCAACCCTCTCCATTGTTGCCATTACCAGCTTTTTTAGCATAAAAGAAAATGTTGAACGCTTTACAGCTTTTCCATCCATTTCCTTTCTCTCTCTCTCTCTCTCTCTCTATATATATATATATATATATATATATTTCTTTTCACTTTCAATATAGGAAAAGAGGGATTATAAAAACAAAATAAAAACAGGAAGAAAAAGGGAGGTAAAGTGCATTATAATAAAGAGATACTAGAAAGTGAGAGTTTCCTAATCTTGCTTGTGCATGCAAAGTAAATGGATCACACCTAAAAAAGCAGGCACAAAAATCTTTTTAATCTTGTATTTATTAACACCTTAATGCATTCACCTATTTTTTTATTTGCTTAATTCTATTATAACGAGGTGGGTAAAGCTGCCACAAACAATTTTAAAAGAAAAAGAAGAAAAAAAAAAGAGGTGCCAGATAATGATGGATAACGTAATGCATTCCCATGTGTGAATTCTGGGATAGAGCAGCCATCTGCAATGGAGAACAAATTCTAAGCTTCCACATTGTCATCAAACTCAAATCTGGCTTGGTGCCAATGAATTAGACAAAAGTTAAATCTACATCCTAAGCTGGAATCTTACATAACGTTGAGAAACGAGAGCTATGGACCGCCTGATCATCTTGTCTAGTGCCAAAATGAGGACAATTTGGAGAGAAGCCAAGGCTGGTTATTGTTCATTTAAAGTAACTAACAATTATTTGATAATCCCTTGCAGATGAAACACTATAACCAAGTTTTTTGGTTGCCAAAACTCTCATTAGGTGGTCGTTTTCAACATTTATTTGCCTTCTTGTTTTCTTGCTTTCTTGCTTCCCGTCCTTTTTTGTGTCAGATTCTCATATATAGAAACAGCAGGAATAGAAACAGATCATTTAAACATTGTACGTCCTGTAGTTAAGGCGACTCCTTCTGGCTCATTGTTGGGGCCATGGTCAAATCAAATTCTTCAAGGATTTTCATCTTTAAGTATATAGGAGATGTTGTATATCAAGGGCTTACCAGCAAGTTAAAATTTTCAGACGGTGGAGCAACGAATAAGACCTAAAATTCTCATAAATCCTATAATGAGGCTCTGATGAGATGATATTAAGGACCCTTTTGAGGACCCCTCCACAATAATGTTGCCCTTGAGCTTATAGTTATCGTTAACAAGACGTTATCATCTTATTTATTTTATTAATAAATTATTATAATTTGATTCACTAATAATATATAAAATTTATATATTAAAAATGTATTAAATATAAAACCTTCCATATCCAACAATTAGGAGTCAAAGTAGCAATGCAAATTTGTAGTTTTTTAATAATGCTGTTACCCATCTAATAACCATTAATGATAACAAAGAAGTAAAGCTCATGTCAATCTTCCTGCCGGTAACTTACCAAAACCATTAATCTATTTCATTAGCATATTTACAGAATCTAGTTTTTTTTTTTTTTTTTTTCTGTGTAGAAAAACGTTAAAGGAATAAAAAGTTTCATTAACGTAAATCTAAGAGAGAGCCAGGGAAGGCAGGGTTGGAGTGAATTTTCGTTTGACCCCATTTCTTAATATTTATGTTCAAATCCCATCAATATTAAAATATTATTTTATAGTCAATCTAATTTGTATATTTATAAATTATAATTGATTTAATTCAAAATTAATTTAATAATTTATATTTAATATAATATTAATAAAATATTATTTTTAATAAAAATATATTTTAATTATATATAATATAATATATTTATCAAATTAATATCTTAAATTAAAAATTAAATAATAATTTTATTAATCTAATAATAAATAACAATTAAATAAATACTAAAAATATATTTATATATATTCGAATAAAGTCAGAGCGATACCACCTACAATTCAACTCTTACTCGACTTCAGAAAAAAATTCAATCCAATTTTTTATTTAAAAAAATTTACCTTTATCAGACGAATCCAAATCCATCATATTTTAGCCAGAGAGCACCGAAAGATTAAACTATGCATAGATGTTTTATAACAATGATGCTATTGTGATCCCATAGCCTATAGGTGATTTTTTTTTTTTTTAATTTAATGAATGTGATCAGGAGCAAGTGAAAGGAAGAATAAATTTATCAAACCAACGGAGACAGCATTTAAGCATTTCTAGCAAGCCTTAAAATTATATATCTGCAGAGAGCTGAGCACCAGAACATTTTGGTGATGGTAAGCTTGTTTTGTTGAGCTGTGTATTTCTTAACTCTCTTCTTATAATTTATTAATTATTTTTTTAACCGACTATCATCACATGGCCTCTGCACCTTCATTAACATAAATGATAAATCTCAGTTACTTCCCTTAGTCATATCTCTCTCTTTCCTTCTTTCTCTTTTGTCTCTCTTCCCTCTCTCACTCTCTCTCTCTCTCTCTGATTTTGTCTATTTTCATTGACGAAATGTGGGATCAGTTTGACAAATCATGAGTTCCTCCTCTAGCGTTAAACTCCATTTATGGAGGAGAATTCTTGTTATTCTGGAGTTTCTTATGGTTCAAGCTGTGGGGCTAAATACAGATGGAACTCTTTTGCTTTCTTTCAAGTACTTTATTCTCAGTGATCCTCTAAACGTGCTACAGAGCTGGAACTCCAACGACCCGACGCCATGTTCTTGGAATGGAGTAACTTGTGGAACACTAGGCAACTCCAATGACCGCTCTCGTGTTACAGGCTTGACTCTTCCAAATTGTCAGCTTCTTGGTTCGATTCCATCCGATCTGGGGATGATTGAACACCTTGAAAATCTTGATCTATCCAACAATTCTCTTAACGGGTCTCTTCCTTTTTCTATTTTCAACGCAACCCAGCTTCAGTTTCTTGATTTGTCAAACAACTTAATCTCTGGTGTCATACCAGAAACAATAGGACGGTTACAAAGCCTCCAATTCCTTGACCTTGCTGACAATGCATTGGCGGGAACTTTACCTGCCACTGTCACCACTATCCAGAATCTAACTGTCGTTTCTTTGAAGAATAATTACTTCTCTGGCAATCTTCCAACTGGGCTCCAATCTGTTCAATTTTTAGATCTGTCTTCCAATCTTGTTGAGGGGTCTTTGCCTCCAAACTTTGGAGGCAACAATCTCAGGTACTTGAATGTTTCTTACAACAGGCTTTCCGGGGTAATTCCGCCACAATTTGCGGAGAAAATTCCTGGTAACGCTACTATTGATCTTTCCTTCAATAATCTTCAAGGAGAAATCCCAGATTCAGTTGTTTTTATGAATCAAGAATCCAAATCATTTTCCGGAAATCCTGATCTATGTGGTAAAGTAACCGGGCGTGATTGTCCAATTCCTTCTTCACCATCATCTTCTCCTAACGTCTCTTCACCAACTTCGCCTCCAGCAATTGCTGCCATCCCCAAGACAATGGACTCCGACACGCCGGAACCATCTTCTGGAGCTAATAAACCAGGACAAAACAAGCTCAAACCAGGAACAATAGTAGGAATTATAGTCGGGGACATAGCAGGAATTGGATTTGTCATCATGGTTTTCTTTTTCGTCTACAAGTTAAAGAGGAAAAAGAGAGTTGAAACTACACAGGAGCAAGAAGCTAACACAGCCAAAGACAATTGGTCTATAACATCTTCATTGTCAGAATCAAGAGGGTTTACAAGATGGTCATGTTTGAGAAAGAGAGAAGAGTACGAAGAAGAATCTGACACCAGTTCTGACACGGAGGAAGATCAAAGCGGGAGCAAAAGTCATGATAATCAACGGCAGCAAGAGCAAGAACATGACAAAAAAGGCACATTGGTGACCGTTGATGGGGAAAAGCAGCTAGAGCTTGAGACGTTGCTTAAAGCGTCTGCTTACATTTTAGGTGCCACGGGCCATGGTATAATGTACAAGGCAGTGCTTGAAGATCGGACCTCCTTGGCTGTTCGAAGGATTGGTGAGAACAGTGTGGATCGTTGCAGGGATTTCGAGACCCAGGTTCGAGTCATTGCTAAACTGGTGCACCCCAATTTGGTCAGGATTCGTGGGTTCTATTTGGGAGTTGATGAAAAGCTAATAATCTATGATTTTGTACCAAACGGCAGCCTCGCCAACGCTCGTTACAGTGAGTGCTTTTCCATTCTTCCTTTTGTTCTTTTTCATTTGTTCCCTTTCTCTTTTTTCGACTTTCCACACTTGCTAAAGTGCGCTGGAGAATTGAAGTGATGACGGTGGAGTAGGTGTAACTGAAACCTTGTTTAATGCATGGGAAAGTCAACTGTCTGGAAGGGGTTCGTATTCGCCAATTCCCAATCGTTCACCCTACGGCGTTTGACAGCGATTTACGTGAACAGCTCACTTCCTTCTGAAAACGACTCGTCTTCTTTATCTCGGTGGCTTATTCTTGCGTTAGCACTTTGCCGGCCTTACACTAATCAAGTTTCGGCTATTGTTACTTTTTCATTTTTCAGGAAAAGTTGGTTCTTCACCTTGTCATCTTCCCTGGGGGGCTAGGCTCAAGATCGCTAAGGGTGTGGCACGTGGGCTAGCATATCTCCATGAGAAGAAGCATGTGCATGCCAATTTGAAGCCTAGCAATATCCTGTTAGACTCTGACTTGGAACCAAAGATTGGAGATTTTGGGCTCGAAAGGCTCATAACAGGTGACATGAGTTCTAAACTCGGATTATCAGCCCGAAATTTTGGCAGCAAGAGGTCAACGGCGTCAAGAGATAGCTTCCATGACCTAGCAGGGCCTAGCCCAAGTCCAAGCCCGAGCTCTTTCGGTGTATCGCCTTACCACGCCCCGGAGTCACTTAGGAGCCTCAAACCCAATCCAAAGTGGGATGTGTACGCATTTGGTGTCATTTTGCTTGAGCTTCTAACAGGGAAAGTCATAGTTTTGGATGAGTTGGGACAGGGAAATGGGATTGTAGTCGAAGACAAAAACAAGGCATTGAGGATGGCTGATGCAGCAATTCGTGGTGACTTGGAAGGCAAAGAGGATGCCTTGATGGCTTGCTTCAAGTTAGGGTACAACTGTGCATCTCCAATCCCACAAAAGAGACCCCCGATGAAAGAAGCCTTACAAATTCTTGAGAAAATCCCTTCTTCAACTTCATATTCATCACATTAATATGGACAATGACAAACATTAGAGAAAAATGTATGTAATGATTGACTGATAGGGTTTTTTTTTTTTTTTTTTTTTAAACTTTTGTTCCAAAGTGTGTCTTGAATTGGAAATTGCATAAAATCATGAGTTGGATCTTCTTGGTGTGATACTAATATTATTGCTAATTTTTATACCCAATCCATCCTTGGTGACACTAATAGGAGCGGTGTTCTTTGATTTTTTAATTTAAATTTAAATTATTCGAAAATTAAGGTGGGCCTCGTATATAAAGCCAACTTCAATTATTAATAGTTAAGTATTCAATTTAAAATTAATTGATTGTAAGTGAAGGGATTTAATTTGAATAAAAAATTATAAGAAATTGAATGTTTATTAGATATAAAATTATATCATTTTAATAGGCTTCCGTTATGTGTAAGTAACAAAAAAAAAGCTTATTATGTGACAAATTTAAAAATGACAATAAAAAAATTTTTGATTTTGATATCATATTAAGCATCTAACTTATTATAAATTAACAATAAGTTGGATACTTAACATTAACAATTTTATAGTGTAAACACATCATAATATGCACATTTAAATATCTTTTATATTAAACTCGTTGGGAACATATAAGCTAACCCCACTTTATGTTTTAAATTTTCTTAGTTTTCCATTCCATTTTTATATAATTATTAACAAAAATATTTAATTGAGAGATTGAAAATATTTCATTTTTCATAAATTAAAAAGCTATCTTATCTCATATCTTAACTCCAAAAAATTTTGTCTAAAATATATAAGCAATTTTTTTTTATATAAAAGCGATTGTAATTTTAGGATAGAAAATAAAATATTTGCTTCATTTGTATAAATCAATTGGATTAAATTCCGAATTTTAATAGAAAATATTTTAATGTATTTAAATAGTTAAGAGTGTTTAATTAAATAAATCATATTAAGAGAAACCAATTATGGGCTATAACGGCCCAACAATTTTGGGCTGGGACGACTAATTGTTTTGGGCTTTAGCGGGGATTAATCAACCCATACTTGGTGGAGCGGCGCCTACGGTTTGTGTGCGCCGCCTTAGCCCTCATTTTTTTTTTCAAATTGGGAAATATCCCGCTCTTCTCTCGTTTTAAAAACCCTTCAAACTTTTCTTTTTCGGGCTCAAATAGCCGTTAGAAAGAAAAGAACAGAAAAAAAAAAAAAAAAAAGGAAAAAGGCAAACGCTCGATTTTCACAAACTCGGCCAATCCAAACCAAAACCCACAACGAAGGAAAAAAAAGCAATGGCGACGAGTATTGGAATGATGGATTCGGCTTATTTCGTCGGCAGATCTGAGATTCTTGCTTGGATCAACTCCACTCTCCATCTCAATCTCTCCAAAGTTGAAGAGGTTTCTTTCTTTTTCTTTACGAAATTTCGCTCGTTTGATTTAATATAAAAGAGGGTTTTGTTTTATAGATATGTTTCCGATCCGGTGCATTTTCAGGCTTGTTCCGGTGCGGTTCATTGCCAGCTTATGGATGCGGTTCATCCAGGGATGGTGCCGATGCACAAAGTCAACTTCGATGCCAAAAACGAATACGAGATGATCCAAAATTACAAAGTCCTCCAAGACGTCTTTAACAAACTCAAAATCACCAAGGTTTTAATTTTAATTTTAATTTTGTCGGTATTTTCTGGTTGTGAATTTTGATTTGATTTTTTTGGCTGGTTTTAGCATATCGAGGTGAGCAAGCTGGTGAAAGGGAGGCCGCTTGATAATCTGGAGTTCATGCAATGGATGAAAAGATACTGTGATTCGGTTAATGGAGGAGGTCTTCATAAGTAAATTTCTTTTAAACCCTTTTTTTATTTTTTAAATCGGTTCCATTTTGTCTATTAATTTTAGTTAATTATACATTCTTTTAGGGTTTTCTTGTTCTTGTTGGTAATGGTTTCTTTTCACCAATTGAATTTAAAATTAGTTATAGTATTAAATTTTTGGAATAATTGGCGCTATCACTTTTTTTGGTTAGCATTAATTGTTATATATGACTTTAGTAATTTCTTGATTGAAATTTGGCATTGTTATATTAATCTTTCTGGCATCACTAATTTGACAGATTGCAGTAGTTTTAGTCATTTTTCCCAACAATTGATAATGATATTTGGGCCTAGAGTTTCATATGTTACGAATTGACTTTCCTGAAATTCATGTTATTTCAATTGTTTTTCTGTTACTAAATTCTGTTCCTGGTATTGTTCTCCTTCATCAAGGCTTGCTTTCTCGGCATACTATATATCATGAATTAAATGAAATGAAGAGAGAGATCTATCAGTGATTTTTTTGGTGTTGTCATATTTAGTTACAATCCAGTGGAAAGGAGAGAGGCTTCTAAAGGAGGTAAAGAAGCCGGCAAGAAATCAGCACCACAACAATCCTCAACCAAGGGTTCAACGGCTGCTCCTAGACCTTCATCTTCCCATGCTCGAAGGAACAACAACGATGTTTCGTCATCCATGAACCCTTCCAATCAATCAGCAAAGACTTCATCCAAACCATCGACATCAGTGGCTGCTTATGATGAACAGGTACTCTATACTTGATGAATGAATTGATAGTATTATTGGTTTAAGAATGTTAAGAAGAGCCTAAGGTCTTCTGCTTTACAACGTAGATCACGGAATTGAAGCTGTCTGTGGATAGTCTTGAGAAAGAGAGGGATTTCTACTTTGCAAAGTTGAGAGACATTGAGATTCTCTGCCAGACTCCTGAGATTGAAGACTCACCGGTATTTCTCTTTTGAGATTCACATTTACAATAGGCAAAATTTATTAGTAAAAAGGGTTATTAAAATTGATTGTTTAATGTTTACTACATGTTAATGCAGATTGTTGCAGCTATCAAAAGGATTTTATATGATACAGATGCTGATGCATCAGTGGTGACCGAAGCTCAAGCCATGGTGTCTCTTCACCCCAAAGAAGCATTAGCTTTGAGTCCAATTGCTGAGGTATCAGAAGAAAAATCCAGTTCTGAAACTCAGAAGAGAAAAATCATTTTGAACATCGATGTTGATGCTGCTGGAATCACAACACTGTCTCCAAGGCAAAGGCTCTCTGATGCTTCCGATGTTCACTGCAGTGGGTCACCTCTTATGACTTACTGATCAGCAATCAGCTAAACTTCTGAAAGATTTGCTTGACAAATACAGTTTTGTCAAATTTCTTAGATATATATATATATCTACAGTTCTATCTATTGTTTCAATTGCAGTCCAACCAGTGTTTAGGACAGGACATAATATAGTCGTCACCTGAATTGTTAGCAATGTCTGTTTGGATAGTGTTCTGTATTTGGAAGATGTAAGAACAACATATGTGTACCCTTTCTACTTCAGGAGGTCATTTTTAGCTAAGGTCTGCCATATAAAAAATCCTGGATGATTACTTGCTAGACACCTTTTTCAGCTTCTCTATTTTTACATATTTTTGTTAAGGGATGAATGACATAGGTTTTAAATTGTCAATGGAAAGAGATATGGTGATGAGTCTTTGTTTCTTTGGGAGCGTTTAGTCATTTTGCAGTTAAATACGATTTTGATCAACAACAGGCTAAAATGCCTTAGGCCATATCCTTGCTAGTAACCCAATTGGCCCTGCTGGCCACAGCGTATGTTAGCTCCCACTGTTCATCCTAAAATTTTTTGCGGATTTTAGGGTACATTTGGATAGACAGTAGGATTGAAAACAAGTAGCGGTGAGATTGGGTACAGTAGTAGGAAAATTAAAATAAGTTGTAAAAATATGTGTTTGAATGCAAATGCAGTGGCAGTAATGAGATTTTTCATTTTTACACCAAGGCAGTTGATTAGCCATGGCGTTCAGTTGTTCGCTAGACCTTTTCCCCTTCAATCACAAACTAGAGGGTAACATGGGACAACTGCACCGCAGGGTGCTATCCAGATGCATCCTAGTGGCACACTAGTGCTATCCAGAAATAGTCTTGGATATGAGATATCAGAGAGTGACATGTGGGGGTGTTCACTTGATGTTATGGCCTCTTCCTTTGGCTGGAAAATAGTGTTGGAGAACAAGTATCATCAGCAATGTCTCAAAGTAAACACTAGACAGTAAATTAAGCATAGGGGGATTACTGTTTATGGTAACTAATATATATTCTCCATCACTTCTCGAAATCAAAATTCAAAGACATTCAATATAAACACGCAAACCAGGATGGTTATGTTTCAACTTTTTCAGTTTCTCAATATTGTTGATCGTTTGAGTTTTCTCATCTTTTGCTTTGGACAGAAGAGTAAGACCACAAATGCAAAAGGTGAAGTTGAAAGAGAGGTGGAAACAGTGTACTATTGGTCACCAGCAGGGAAGGCCCAAGAGCCAAAGAGTGTGCAGGTGATTCACCATCATCCACAAAACAACCAGAAGAACAGCTGAGGTGTCCTTACTGCTGCTGCTGTTGCTGTGGCCTCTACCCTTGAATCTGCCAAGGATGCAATATCTCGAAAGCAATGGCACAATTCTCCATTTCAAATGACCTTACCGACTTTAGAATCTCTTGGAAGTTTCATTTTTGGGGAATATATGATTTGTATAGAGTATAGAGCAATACTTTTATGTTTTGTCTTGTAAGTACACAATGTGCTTAATTGTTGTCAAACACATAATGCATTGTCTCCTTGATTAGAGATTGGTTACATAACCTGAAAAACATGTTATCTGAAAAGTGACAATAAGATCAATCATCTTGTAATGCCAGAATATTAATTCTTTTCTTTTACAGTCAATCCCCTAATCCGAACTCCGAAGGGTTTGAAGGGGTGAAAACAGGCCATAAGGAAAAGCTGATAAAAGCTCAGACTTGACCCATCTACTCCCCCTCTGCCTTTCCTCAAGGGAAATAAACAGATTTGTCAATGCTATTGGGTAAGGTCAAGTAGTTGAGATAAAAAAACTCAGCTCTGCTTAGATTTGTAAGTAGTTTCACCAAAAAAATGGAGAAAAAAAAAAAAACTCAAACTCTACATGAAGATGCTGCGATAAGCACATAAACAAAATATTCCTTTTCTTTTTAATTATCAGACTGCAGAATCCGTTTTGATTGGTGGATCCCATCCACATTACTTTCTCTTTTCAGCCTGGAAATTGAATTACAACCATTTCCGTTCGAAAGAATCAAGGGTTAAAGCTTAAAAATTCATGCTCAAAATACAATTGTCAGTTCGCACACCACTGAAAGCAAAACAAAGTTAGTGCGCTTTATTCTTCTTCACCAATTGTCATCCGAATCCTATTCTTTTATCTTTTATACCCTAGTCCACGTCTCTCGTTGCTTTTATAGCATCCACCATCGAGGCATATATTTCCCATTGGTTTCCCTCTTATTGCTCACCATCTGGAGTCACTACTTGTTTCTGCTCTAATTTTTCGAGGTCTGTGAGCCGAGTTTTCCTTGAAACAGGTTAAGTTTTACTAGTTTCTTGGTATCTGGTTCATTTCCATTCTTTCATTGCAGTTATAAATTAGCTTAAAACAGTCGCAGCAATGGGAATGGCAATATCTAGATTGGTGAGGATGCTTTTTGCAAAGAAAGAAATGAGGATATTGATGGTGGGACTTGATGCTGCGGGCAAAACAACCATCCTTTACAAGTTGAAACTTGGAGAGATTGTTACTACCATACCAACCATTGGTATTAACCCTCAATATCTCTCTGCTACCCTAATCTTTCTACCTTTAAACTATTTGAACACCGAGTTTTAGTTAAATTTTCGTTAGATTTATAAATCCAATTCCAACCTGTGATTAGATGTCTATAGTATATATGTACTACTTTCTCAAGTATGGTTGATAATTTTTTTGTCATGTAATTTTCCATATTCATTTCTCAGCTGTTTCTGAAATTTAACTTGCTCTCATTTTCATGTGGTTGAATCGTAACATCTCAATCCCACGTCGGAATAGATATTATGAGGATCTAATAACTGAGAATTTTGCTAATCCAGGATTCAACGTGGAAACTGTCGAGTACAAAAATGTTAGCTTCACCGTCTGGGATGTTGGAGGACAAGATAAGGTAATAAGCGTATCAATACTAATGGTAGCTCTTACAAAAGCATGGTAATCCCACCTCCCTATGAGCTAATACCTAACAATTAAAGAGTAACTGTTTCATACTTTGCTTTATAGATACGACCCCTATGGAGACACTACTTTCAGAACACTCAGGGCCTTATTTTTGTGGTGGATAGTAATGACAAAGAACGAATAACGGAAGCCAGAGACGAACTTCACAGGATGCTAAGCGAGGTCAAAGATTTCGAATAACTTTGTGAATTCATTACTAGTTTGTTCCCTCAGGGGCTAATTTTAATAGAAAATCCTGATGGAAATGTCATTCAGAGTATTAACCTCACCAAGCTTTCATTAGATTGCTTACTTAAAACTGAGAAAGTACTAGCCGGTTGTGTACTGTGTAGATATTTAGTGTGCATAACAGGCTCAATTACTTGTGGTCTTTCTTTTTCAGGATGAACTACGTGATGCAACCTTACTTGTCTTCGCCAACAAGCAAGATCTTCCAAATGCCATGACCGTTTCTGAAATCACTGATAAACTTGGCTTGCATTCACTTCGCCAACGCCGTTGGTAAATTATAATGTCAACTCAAATAACTCACTAGTCTGTATATATATTCACCAACTAATAGAGCTAAAATTTGCTCATTTTACCTTCAACTATTAATAAAAATTACAACCTGACACCATTTTAAAAGACAAAAGGTATAGAATTAAAAGCTGATATTAGAATTTTTTACTTTCCTATGGTAATTGGCATTTTTGGAAACTGATATAGGTACATCCAGGCTACGTGTGCCACCTCTGGCCAAGGACTTTATGAAGGCCTTGATTGGCTCTCCAGCAATATCTCTAGCAAGGCAAGATAAACCAAGCTTCTTTCATTCTGCACCACTTACAAATTTCAATGACCTAATTAAATCTATTTTCTTTCTTTTGCTCACAGGCATAATCCAGCCAGCTCCTCATTCAACGTAGAAAGTTATCTACTTCCAAAGAAAAACCTGAAATATAGGAATGAAGGGCATGTAACTCAGTTTTCATTATTCAGTAGATTTTAAACCACTTTTATGATTAAGAAACCATAATATATATGTGTGATACATCATAAGAAATGTTCAACGATGGTTAGCTAAAGTAGATTCATGACTCTTATTTTGTACTTTTATCCATATAAATAAAAATAAGAATACTTTAAGAGAATCAAAATCTCTCAACAAATTAAGAGGCTTAATTTCTTGTCAGTTTTACATTTTAGCATTGATGAATAGCTATCAGTTTCAGAGGGTAAGGCAAACATTCAAAAGTCATACCAGTATAATTTGATATCAGCCAGAGAAGAGTATTGCTTGCTGTTGTTTTAATAAAAAACAAGAAAAATTACCCAGTTACACTTGGGTTGTAAAATTTTTTTTATTTTGATTAAATATAAATTTTTTAATTTAATAATAAATTAAAAATTAGTTTTTAGTATTTTATTGGTTTTTTATTTTCTTTTTAAAATATATTTTTAAATTGATGCTCTAATTATGTAACCTAATTACAATTGTATAGACGGTGACTTCTATTTTAAATAAGAGAAACTACTTTAAAAAATTATGTAAATTAAATCCAAATTTAATAATACATACATGACAATCCAACCGACTAATATGATATTTATTTATTGTAAATATTAATTAATTATCAAATTCAAACCCATTTGTCCATGAAATCAAAAGTCACTAATATCATCACATTCAACTTATTTAAAAAAAAAAACAATAATTTTATGATGGTAAGAGGGGTATTATAATAACTTTGACCAACTGTGAAATGGGAGTATTTCAATAATTATAATAAGAGAGATATTATAATAATTTTAATTAATTATAAAAAAGGTATTACAATAAATTTGCACACATGCATTCAATTGTCAAATAATTAAAAATGTATTATGATAATTTCCAATGAAATTTTAGTTGATTATGAAGGCACTACATTAGATTTTTACACGTGTTAAACAATAAGCAAATAATTAAGAGGCCATAATTGTCATTTTCAAATGGGTTTATTTTCATTATATAGTTATAAATTTTCAAATAAAATAACATGTTAACTTTTTATTAACTAATTATAAGGATATTTTTGTAATTATGATAAAAAAATATTATAATTATTTTGATCAATTTTGATGGAAGAGTGTTTTTATAATTATGATAAAAAATATTATAATAATTTTAATCAATGATGGTGGTAAACAATTTTCATAATTATAGTTAGAGAAATATTATAATATTTTTAGCTTTATACAATACTAGAGATATTTACGTAATTATAATATTATGATGTTAAAATGATTTTATATTTGTAAGAATTTTTTTTGTCATTTAAAAATAAAAAATATTATAATAATTTGACATTTATAAGGAGGGTTTTTTTGTCATTTAAGAAATGAGAAAATTATAGTAATTTAATTCAAAAGAGGGATATTTTTGTCAATTAAATAGGAGAGCATTATCGTCTTTTTAAACACATGTGAAGCAATTGGCCAAAATTAAAGGGGTATCATTTTAAATTTAACTAGATGTTAAATGTATGGATTTGACCTACCTGTTCAATCCATTCCAGGCCTTCTGGCATTTTGGTCAGAGTTAGTAGGATTTGACATCAAAGCAGGTGAATGGCTCCAAATCCTGGAAAAGCATTACCTGATGTAGTTTGAAAGCAGTGAGCCGCATCAAAGGGTCAAAAGGGGGCTAGGCGTGGTGGTCTCTTATGATCAAGTTAAGAGTCTTGGTTTGATGTGGTCCATCAGATCATGGTCTTAGGTTAAGCTGTACAAAACATTTCCATTTTAATCATCAGCCTCCATTTTTCTCTACGTATTTCTTACTATATATTATACTCTTTCTGCTGTTTAAGCTATGAGTTGCACAATGGAAAGTAACTTGGGTACATTCTGCGAGAGAGATGTCCATATAGTTGAATTTAATCACTACTGTAAATTTGCTGTCACTTTAATTTAATCAACTTAGGCGTAGAGAATATTTACACTGGATTCATTGAGCTGATGGGAAGAAATACTCCTTTAGTGTCACGTCAGATCTTTCTTCACATGATGAAAACTTTCTTCATTTTTCTGGCATACGGAGCTTTAAGCACTGTTTGGTTGGCTGCCAACTTGAAAGAGACACTGAATTCAGTACTTTCAAGCTATATCAAATGAAAGTCATGAACCCAGCAGTGCAAATTACACCGGTTATGGTGTTTTCTCTGCATTAGGTGGATGTGGGGGAAGTCTTGTTTCATGTTTACAAGACTCTTGCTCCGAATTTTAAGGCTTTGTAAAGCCTGGAAGTCATAGTGCCATCAATTTCTGTGTTTTTTGCCGGTAGGTACGATCACAGTGACAGAATTTATGAATGTAAAAAAATACCAAGTCTACACTGTCACTTCTGAGCCAAACATGTTGCAAACTTTTATATTCAACAAGGCTTGGAACATAATTTAAAAAAAAAAAAAAAGCAAAAACTATGATGTCCGTAGGATAATGAACTGCTTCCTTGATGAATATATAACAAGATATTAGTTGCAGAGAAATTCCTAGTTAGTGTTCAAACAACTGGCTGCAACATAGATAGGAATAAAATTTTCAAAGCAAGGATCGGATTGATTAGAAACTAAAGATGTCCATCACATAAAGCAAAATGTCTGTAAATGGTCAAATTATTGTAGCCACAGCAATAACTCATAAATTGATACCAAACTACATAGAAATCTATGTGTTGTCTTGAAATTATAGCTATGGTTGTACATTTTGTCTGTTTTCTTTTAAGAAAATTCAGTGATATGAGCTGCCACATTTATAAAGCAGTAATAGGCATCTACTTCTTTGGACCAATGTATTAAAATCAAGCACTATTAGACTGTTTTTCAGCTAAGTTTGAATGGTGAATCTATCCAAGCAGGTGACCTCATTTGTTCCTGGGCAAAGTCCTTGTTTTAGCAGAGAGGAGGGCTTGCTGTACTTTGATGAGACCTCTCTCGCAGTTTTTCTTTTTCTTTTTCGTAGTTTGTACAATAAAAATCCTGGACAATGATAAATGAAAGTGAGACCCTCTGGCAATCCTCAAAAGGCGCTGCCATTTCTACCTATGAAAACCAATACGTAATCAACCAAATGATTGTTGTTTCCCTGGCACTTGGTAAGCTGGAAAGATTAATTTGAACAGGTTTTTATTGACTTTTAACTTCTTTCCTTTTGCTTTGTTTAACTACTGGAAGATTGGCATGATGGGAACTAATAATCTAAAATCTCTTTCCTAGAAATTTCAACTCAACATTCTAAATTTTCTATTCTCAGATTCAACACCTAGAAGAAACAATGGAGTACTAAGCTTTTTTTTTTTTTTGACAATCTCCCCCTAAAATGATTTAACGACAAGCTTTCCTAGCTGTTTTCAACCACTTCTCGGACTCTGGTCTTTCACATGCGTACTAGTTGCTCCACTGCTTTGTCATTTCCTTCTTTAACCTTTTGTGGATCCAGTCTTCCCCTCCTTCCCTCCCTTTTCTTTTTTTCCTTTTCCTCCACACCATTATTGTCAAACCAAGCAAGGACACCATAGTTACCATAAAGGATAAACAAATAGCTTTTACTTTATTTGTTTTCGTTTTCTTTCTATTATGTACATGATAAATCCCATTACCCTGACCAAAACAATATTTCATTTTAAAAAAAGACCTTGAAATCAAGTCAACAACAAGAACTAATCAACTAACCGTATGACATATAAACCCACTTCACAATATAGTAGTTGGATGATGTTATAAGTTAATAAATCATAAATGTGCTTGCGCGAATCCAGGATTTTTTTTTCAAAATGTTCACTTATAATATATAAAAGATTTCCAAGAGAAAATTTTTCTTCAAATTTTCTTATTTTCAATATTTGGGGGCTGTCCATCAACATCTTACCTCAGAGAGTACATCTGCCCCTGGAAACCTGGTGAGATGGATCAAATTTGACAAACAGATGCTTGGAATTTTTCTTGTCGGCTTCTCAGCTTAATGGGGGATGATCTTTTATAAGGAAGAAGCTAATCATTTTAACTCATTGCTCCTTAAAGTTGGAAGTACCCGTGATCTTTGCCTGTGAACATAACCATGATGTGATTCATTCATGAGATGTTACATCATCAATGCTCCCAAATCCAGAGAGTACCATGAGGATCAAAATTGCAGACCCTTCCATCAGTTATTTCCTACAACATTTTCTGATGGTAATGTTCATGCATATCAAAATGAAACCAGAAAACAGTTCATTCTTCCTAACTTATCTATTTGATGTTTGCCAAAAGTTTCTTTATGCATGCGATATGACAACACTCACAAAACATGGGAAATCATCATAATGAACTACATCCAAATGCAGTTAGAATATGATTCAGCTCACAGAAATTTTTTAGGATTAGTGTGATAACATAATCATTGCCTAAAACAATTGTGTATCACAAGGACAATCATGAATAACATGATTTTAGCATTGCTGCCATCTGGAACATTAGAACAGATTTACTAAAATCATTGGTGCATTCAAAGTTCTCTTGTGATTATAATTTCTATGCATAGAACTTTTACATACAATTCTGTATTGAGCTAGCTTTCTTCAGTATTAGATAGTTGCAAATCCAAGAACATACCACCATAAACTTCAGAATGACAAAGTAAGAAAAATATTCAAATGAAAAAGTCCCACGACATGGAAACAAGGAAAAAGCAAAGTCACAATAGATAACAAGACCGGAAGACAGCTATTGTGTTTTGCCAATAAAAGATATCAAACAGCGTTAAGAACAAAGATGGTTATAAAATTAAAATGTTAAATCTTTCGCAAAGCATAACTTATCATAATGCCATATTTAAGGTTAATTAGGGTCCAACTTTCACACATAAAAGATTCCTTACAAGATCATGGTCACACCAATAAATATCAATGCATATGAGTACAATCATATTATAAGTTCAGCACAAAAGAAAATTGCTTATTACTTTGAAAACTAGTACAATTTCTGCCATAAAGTAAGTATTATTTTAGGTAGAAAGGAAAGTGATTCCTGAGAAGGTAGGAAAACTGCCTGCTAGTGGGAATTTGGTTGTTATTCTCTAGGGACTTTTGCTTTTCTGTTTGACCTTGTTGAAAGAACTCTCTGATTTTTAATATTAAAGCTATGGGGATCCAGAATCCCAATTGATTATTTTTCTCTCTCCTCTATCTTGTTTTTATAAAACAGTAAACAAGTTCAAACATTCATCTACCCCCAAAGAAGCACAAAAGTCAACAATTGATCGTTCAAGACAATTTGACTTCTGTTGCCTACCTTGATCTTAATTCTAATTCCACCTAAATTCTAAAATAAGTGACCAAAAATAATATAGATGTACGCAGATACAGAGGATATTCTGGATATAAAAATTCGTTCACAACCATACAATACAAGGATCAGAAACATAGCACAGTGAGGCACTCATGTCAAGTTGCCAATCTCAGGAAAAAGCCATCCATCTTCTCATTGGCAAACTCCCAACTTACCTCCACAGTCGAATCAAAGAGGAATTTGGCAAATATCAATCCACTTCTGATCCATGTTAGCAAATTTGGCGATAAAGGCAACAAGTAGTTATGAAACACATATTAATTGCACATTAAGAACAAATAGAGGAATTTTATAATAACATGTTCAATAGACTAGTTATTAGTACAAGGAAAGATTAATGAGGGCTGCTAAGCACATCCACAAACATACGATTTAGTGAAGGTAGCCGCATTTGCTGTTCCTGCGCTCTACTCCTTTTGAACGGTGGATGTGGTGATGATGAGACCGAAGTTGTCACACCCCATGAATCATCTGAGCTATCACAGCTAGAAGATGCATCAAAGACACCATAAGGGCTACTTGATATTGATCTATGCTTGCGTTTGTGCCCTAGGTTTCCTTTACAATGGCTCTCCAATAACTCTAAGATGAGCTTGTAGCACGCATTTACTTTATCCTGTTGAAACAAAACCATAATTAATTAATGGACAACCAAGTTCCAATATAGCCTATGAAAAACAACAGGCAAGAGAATATCAAAACAGAGCACCCCAAGTATTCCAATATAGTCTATGAAAAACAACAGGCAAGAGAATTTCAAAACAGAGCACCCCAAGTAATTGTGGACAAACCTCACATGTCTTGAGTACTTCAATAAGCTGCTTCCGATATTCAAAATAATGGCACGGTTCAACCTCTTTGATAACATGCAGCACTGTTGCAGCAGCTAAGATAGAAGGAATATAAAGCATGAACCTCGAATCTGGATCAAAATTGAATTGGAAATCTAAGATTAGAACTCAAGAGGAATGGTTAAAATGCACATTTCCTTCTTTATACAAGAAGTCTGAAAAGAAAAAGATTAGCTGTTTGATTAGCAATGAAAACAAAACCTGTTTTGACTACTTACCAGCAATGAGAAAGAGAAGCAAACGCTCACACCTTTGAAGGAACTCCCAATGCAAATGAGTCCTCAATCCAAGCCTCCTTGTAATGTGATAAAAGAAGGAAATTGGAGTTACAGGATTCATCCTCCATTGCAGAGTTGACAACACCAAAAGCTCCATTCTCTGTATGGTCTTTGAATCAAACACATACTTTGATTCCTCCACCTAAAGAAAGAAAAAAATCACAAAAATCCATCTTTAATAACTCAATAACAAGTTCAGAAACACAAATTTTATGAACCAACGAAATTGGAATACAATCTTGCTTGCATTAGACACACATACTTGGAGGTCTAAAAGAAGTGGCACTTGGGTTTCCTCAACCTTGGCAGCCAAAGACAAACAAGCCACAGCAGCTAATTGCCCCATCCATGGCTTGTCCTTCTGAAACTTTAAGCTTGAAATGAACCTATCAAAGTAATTCACAGCAAGAACTATGGTCAAAGCATTGAATCCATAATGCGCCTTAACCTGGAAAATCCACTCCAAAGCATCTTTACGAGCCAAAACTAAAGACTCATCTGAGTAAACATCAATGTAACCAAGATGGGTTTCTTTCTCTTTAGATATTAAAGAGAGTAACTCATCACCTTCCCAGAACATGTCATGTTCAATAAAAAATAAAGGTAAAAATGTCTCATTTTTCACTGTTTCACCACAAATTTCACTTCCATTTTCTTCGAAACTATACTCTCCTAAATCTTCTTCTTCACAATACAGCCCATCAAGAATCAAAGGTGGGCTTTGAATCTGTCGAGTCTCCTCTTCTTGCAGAGCCATAGCTTTCAAAGAAGAAGGAAATGAATTCTCCTTTCATTATAATACCATAAAAAACACAGCAAATCCCAATCTCATTTTTCACTCTTTCATCAATTTCCCCAACACTCTCGTCTCTGGGTATATTACTCTGTGAGTAAGTGGAAGACGAAAAAAATAGAAAGATAATGAGAGACAAATGGATCTTTACTGAACTAATTCCTCGAGTTTTTCCATGAAATTTAAAATCTATTTATGAAAAAGAAGTTTAAAAATAAGAAAAAGAAAAAAGAAAGTTTCTCTGCATGCTGCTGACTGAGTTAAAGCTTTATATAAAGACAAAAAAGGAAAGGAAACCCCCCCTGAATCTGATACGTATTCGATTTGAGCCGATACGTATCGGGACTTCCCTTACAGCACCTACGAAAGCGTATCATCATTTTGCCAATTCTGTGACTTTGCTCCAATACCACTTTGACAGCAATGCTCGTGAGATCAACACGCCTTAACATCCGGTAGATTCCGACGGAAAGTTAATGAAGGTGAGGGCGACGCGCTGATTAGGGGTGCCTTTTTTAAGTTACGGGGGGTAGAAAAGAGTTGACCGTTCAAAACGGGGATTTGTCAATTGTCATGTCGGGAGTTGAAAAATGAAAGCATTTGAGAGGTCATGTTGATACGTCACTCAACGTCTGTATGTGGTTGGGACACGTGGACCACTTAAAATTGTGGTTTTTGTCAACCAGAATTTCTTGGTAGGAGTTAGATTAGTAATAAAAATTAAATTAAGATAACTTTAAATATAAAAAATCATGACAGTTGTTTTTATTTTCAAACAAACAATAACAGTTTTTATTTATTTAAAATTATTTTTTGGGTTTTGTTTTTGTTATTTCTTACATGTTTTTATGACTGTTTTTATAATATTTATATTATAATTGATATTTTATTTGAAAAATATATGATGGTTGAAAATAAATTTTCTTACAAAATACGAAAGTAAATCAATGTATTTTGAATTTTAAATTCGTATTCAAATCAAATAACATTTTCTCATATTATAAATCTCGTTGTTATATAAAAAAAATTGGAGAAATTGGAACCCAATTTTCTGAATAAAAAAATTTACAGAAATTATTTAATAATTTTTAACAATGATAGACTAAGTTGAAAAAAATCTAAAAAATATATATTAATTATTATATTATATTTATTTTGTACAGACAATAATGAAATATGGATGAACTAGTTGAATATTACTTTTTCTTTTAAAAAAATATTGTTGTTTAAAGGTATAAAAAGAATTACAAATATTGAAATTTAAATTTAAATATATTATTTTTTAAAATAATTATATAAATTAATTGAAATAAATTTTATATTAAAATATTATTTAAATTATAATTATTTTATTTAATTTTAATAAATAATAAATTTTCATTTATAATTTTCATCAAAAGTAGAGTATAGTAATTGCAGTCATGTTAATGTAAAGAAGTGGGAACCATAAGCTATAAAGTAATAAAAACTGCAAATGAGGGTTTGGTGAGAGAGTTTGTTAGGCAATAAAGGAAAAAAAAGAGTCAAATTATACAAACCCAAAAACGTACTTATAACTTTTTATTCTCAACAAATAAAGATGGGTGTGAAAAAAAAAATGGTGTTTATTTGGTTGATTCGGTTAATTTTTAATTGAATTATTTAAAATTAAATTATGTTATTTTATTTTTGTTAATCGAATCAAAATTTTTAATTTTAAAATTTAATCAATGAAAATTAATTTTAATTTTTTTAATTAATTGAATAATAAAATACATTAAGTTAAATTATATTTAAAATTTTTATTTTCTTATATGTGAAATAAATTAAATAAAATCAACCAACAAAAATATTCCAACACTAAAATATTAAGTTAAAAACTCTAATAATTTAAAATGAAATTGACAATTTCATATATTTTTAGTTTTATATATATTTTACAATATTTCAATTAAAATTTTGATTAATTTCATTAATTTGATAGTCGAATTTAATTAACCAAAAATTAAAATTTTTCTAAAATCATTTTCAACAATCAATCATAATTAATTCGATAATCGATCAATTAACTAAATTAAATCAATCTAATTAAAATCAAATTATAAACATTTCTAATAAAAAACATCAAATCAATGAAAAACCAAACATATATGTATGAATGTTTTTATTGTGAAAATTTCTCTACCTTGACTGGCAATTCAATTATGAGTTATCAACATCGAAATAATGTTCATCATTGTGCTTTGCTCTACAATCGTTAACATCATTATTGTCATTATCAACAACAATTTTCAAATCTTTGAGATTTTGCATGTAAATGGGTGTCGAAAACAGTTGTAGTTAGTTTCATCCAAAGTAGGAAACGTACTTGTAATTATTAGTTACCTTGCCAGCCAGCCTGCCTCAATATATCTTCATTTAGGTTGGTAATGAAATGAAAGCTTGAATTAATTGTACTCGGTTTTGGTTTAGTTTGGTGTGGAAGCTCACTTGTCACTTACTCGTTATCATGGTTTAGGTTTTGATACATGTTTTCATGCAGAAGCTGAGTTTTTAGAAGTTGGGTTTTGAACTAGTGTTTGAGATAGCTAGCATTTAGGAGAATTGCCTCGATTGCATGCATACCCAAAATCTAGAATTTTCATATGTTTTATAAAAAAATTATAATAACAGATCATAAATACAACAAAATTCATTTATATTTTACGATGTTTAGAGCTCAACCAATTTATATTTCATTATTTTAATTCTTAAATATATCATATTTTGATTTTCACAAATTTGGTCGGCAAAAGCAAACAATTAAACAAAAAGGGAGAAAAAAAAATGATTTCGGGTTCTCTTCAAATTGTGCTGCCATAACATTAATAGTATATATATATTTGAAACCATCATCAATGAAATTGTCTATGAACCTACAATCAGCTACTCCTTCCCTCCCTACTTATCTGTGAGTAATAAAGATCATTTGAAACTTCAACTATACCATCTTCAATGAAATTTTCTGTGAACCTACAATCAGCTACTCCTTCCCTCCATACTTATCTAAAGATCATTTGAAACTTCAATTATACCATCTAAATTAAAAGACACTAATAAATTAGTTAGTATAATTACGTCCTATTGGCTAACTTTTTACATTAGTCCTAATTTGAAAATGGATAATTTTTTTTTACACAAATAAAGTTGTAGTATAAGAATAGAGGAATGGATTTAAACATATCGAATGTTACCCACCTCTTAAAGATAATTTTACGAAACGAATTAAATTAAATATTGAGTTTGACAAAATTTAATTTTTCATGCATTTTTTTATATTTAAAGTTGTAAGGATTTAAACCCTGATTACAAAAAATAAAAATTCAGTATTTTACTAACAAATTACATGGATGTTAACATTCTTCATGCGGTTTTAATAATTACTTTCTTTATACCAAAGGTATAATGTTTACTAATATTTTTCATTAGCATCATTTAATACATGTAATTTGTCTATAAGATTCAGTTAATGATATTTTCCTATATTATAAGGCAAGATTCACTATTCATGGGCATTCTCATTCGTTAAAATGGGTGGTTTAGCAATTAAAGAGGGTATGGAGAGGAGGCGAAGGTACTTGGTACAAAATCGTTGTCAGTAAGGTGAAATTTGTTCCTTCACTGACTATGATCAATCTCTCAAGGCAAGAAAGAAGAAACATATTAAATGCTATTGACTTTTCATGCAAAAAGCCCAGACAATATGTTCTTCATCTGTTTGATATAATTTTAACACACACATTGCCCCCAACTTTGCATAATCAAACTCTTTTAAACCCTAAACCCCATTCTTAGTAAAAGCTCTCATTGAAACAAAACCAGCCAAAAAGGCGAAAATGTTCTGATATTGTCATTAAATTTTATGCTGAGCTCCCTTGAATCTTGGCAGTGTCTTCAGTTTTTAAATTCTTTCTCCATTGTTTCCGATGTCCTTAATGTTATTGCAGGAGAAAAAAAAAGGTTTCTCCTCCACTGTTTCTTTCTTTTTACTCTTTGCATTGTGTTGCAGAATAAAGGACTGAGTTTTGCAGCCCACGGATAAAACTAAATGGTTTATATTTCCTTCATGTAGGTTACCTTATCTAGGAGAACTATTTGTTTTTTTTTTTTTCAGCCTATGGTCTTCTTCTCTTTTCTTTTATTCAATTTAATTTCCCTTTTCTCTTTGGTTTTGGGTTTTGACTTGAGCCTTGAGGTCCCAATAAAGTGGGATACTTGATGGAGGTGGGTGCAAAAGAGCAGTGTTGTCCAGCCAAAATCCAACTGTGAAACTTAAAAACAGATCAAAGTTTTTTCCTATATGTCTCCCACTTTGCTATTTTTAAATTGTAAATGATTAGATTTAAAAACTTCAAATCAGTCGAATGTATAAATTAATTGAGTTAAGTCTTCGATTTTTTTTATTTTTTTTTTCATTTCTTTTTCAAGTATTAGAATCATATCTTGCCTTTTTTTTTTACCCTAATCTTGAATTCCTAACAACTAACACCATAAAAAATTTATAAAAGCTGTTGCATCATTAAGGGTGGAAGTCAATTACTCTTTTTTTCCTCTCTCACATCCCCCAAGTTGCCCACACCACCAAACGGATTTTTTCTTTTCTCTCTTCCTGTGTTTTTGTTGATAAGGACATGTCAATAAAACCAAGTTCTAATTGCTTGCTATGGCTTTAGATGCATAATTGGTCATTATTATGCTGTTCGGGCATTATATGATCAGTAATTTGTACTTAAGGCTTTTTTTTGATAGAATAAACCTCCTATAATATATAAGATTTCAACATGTCAATATATTCTTATAAACCATAAATTTAGTAAATGATAATACCAATTAATTGTTTGGAAATTAACATCCACATTTGATTAATTAAGTTGTAGTAGCACAAATAATTTTATAGAGAAAAAAAGGTAGTAATTTATTTTTAACAAAGTGTTCCAATGAATTCAATAAGGTCTATCTTGTTGTCAATAGATCGTAGTTAATGAAACTAAAAAAATATGAATTTTATTAATGAGTACTTAATTTAAAACTTTAAGATTAATAATAAACAACGTTTAAGAAAAGAATTTATATTTAATACATTGTCAGTGTATAAATTTTATATATTATTAGTGAATTAAATGATATTATTTCATTAATGAATAAATATTAATCCTTAAAATAAATATATAAATATTTAATATTTAAAAAAAAAAACTTACTTATTAATGAGAAAACATAATCTGATTTATTTTATTAATTATGTAATATCATTTGATTCACTGATAATATATAAAATTTCTACACTGACAGTGCATTAAAATATAAACCCTTAATATTAACCACTTCAATAAGCAAGAAACAAAGTAGACATATCAAACAAATATATATATATATATATATATATATAGTGGGTGTAACAACCATTACTTTGTGTTTTTAAACAAAACCAATTAATGAAAATTTTAATTTTATGAGAAAATTTCTAACAACCCATGAAACCTAACTGTATTAAATCAAAAAGCCTAGGGAAAAAATACTTTATTTCCATTCCAAATGTACGTTTGAAACTGAAACTAGTTGGAAAAAAGCCACAACTGGCTTTCTCAACTAATTAGTTGAAGCTACTTATTATGAAACAGCAAAAGAAAAAAAAAGATGAAGAAGAACCTCATTGATTTGGCCATGTGTATTTCCAGCCTTATCGAATAATTAATGAACACTTTTAAAAGAAAAATCAACAATCTCTTAATTCCTTGGGCTAAACTGGGTTCTAGAACGAAATATATCTGATGATGGCAAAGATATGACAGGTAAAATTGCCATTATTTGGCTTGCAATCATGGTCGATTGTTTTGTCACATTCTCAGCTTGCATGTGGATGACTAGCTCTTGGTTGGGTTTTCTTTTCTTCTTTGGATAGTGCCCACGTTGAGAAATCAACAAATACAAATGTCATGAGGATTGGTTTGCTTTTACTGCCATCCACTCGAGCAACAACATAAATTTGAACCCATTAAAACATATACCAATCATGAATCACACCACACCCATGGCTATTTAGCTTTGACTAAAACGTTAAAAAGGAAAGGTATATATATAATTCTTCAAACTTGATGATGACTTCAAAATTCAAATCCCATTTTGACTATCCAACTCAGAATGTTTTTAGCTAAAACACTTTAAAAAAAAACATTTTTTAAGGATGGAAAGTGATAAGTAGCAATTCAAGTTTCACCCGATACATCCTTTTTTCGAATTGGTTTAAGTAAATTTATATATGCTGAATCTAACGAATTTTTAAAAAAATTATTTTTTCACAATCTCTCAACAAATTTGAATTTGAAACAATTAAAGAAAGAAAAAACAAACTCTTTTATCATTTGAGCCAGCATCAATTGATATATATATATATATATCATTACCAAAGAGGTAATGAATCGTTTTGGGATCAATGGTCATAATGATGGCATTTTTTGTCCAAACACTTTGGTTGGTGCATGCATTGATATTGCATAAGCATCATCATTAAAGCATTGAATTGCAAAAGGAATGCTCCAATATTTTGTGGGTGTTCAATTTGTCATTTGTTGATAGAAGTGTGTTAGTTAATGGTGAAGAGCTGATTATTCATTCTCCTAAAAGCTTAACCTTTAACTAACTTGAAGTAAATTTTTTTTTGAAGTTGTTTCTAACAAAATATCATTTTACAGATGATTTTGAGCTACACAATGGAAGATATAGCCTTATTTTATCCAGTCAATCTCCCGCTTTTGTTCTTAGATTCTAATTTGAGAATTAAAAATTAATTCCTTAGGTTCTCAGTTGTCAGGGAAATCTAAAACCTCAACTGATAGTAAATGAATCGTATAGATATTACAAATACTTTGTGTATTTTGAAATCTTGAGTCTTTTATATTCATTTTTATACATTAGTCATACACGTAGCTATAAATTAAAAAGTCCTCCCATTTTTTTTTATCTATTAGTTACACCATTATTATCTTTTTAGTAATTGAATTAGATCAAAGTAATAGCTTATTGAAGATTTTCATACACAAATTTCTTGTGAAGATTTCAATCCTATGGGCTACAAAAAAAGCTATGGAGAACATGTTAACATTATTTTTTAAATCCTATGGGCCACTAAAGGGCATATAGGCTCAGCCTAATTTTAATTGTAATTTACTGCAATAGTCCAATAGATTGGGTTACCAAATCTCTTTTTGATTGGGTCAAGAAAGAATTGACATGATACTTGTAGTATAAAAAGAAAAAATGAAGAAAAAACTCTTATAAAGCATTTCAGTATTTCACCAATGTAATACCCACAAATGTAACACTAAAACTCTAATTTTGTTTACTAGATCTTGACTTTTTTTTTCCTCAAAAAATGACTTCTTGGGTTATTTTTATTTTACTTGATGATTTACTTTTCTAATATATCTTAATTATTTTATATTATTCTTTAACAACTCATATTTTATACACATATGATTCAGATAAAATAATTATTTTGTTTTAAATTAATGATTTATAAGATTTTTAAATTGATTCATATAATTATTTATAAAAAATAATATTTAATAAATATAAGATTTGAATATCAATATTTATAATTTTTTTTTAAGATTCTCAACTTACAATATTTTGTTTAAGAAAAAGATGATAAAATAAAAAACCTTATTCTCTTGTTATGTTATTGTTGGTTTGTTTGACACTTCACAATTGTGATATTGAATTGGAAAGTTGAAAATGTTGAACCAAAGTGCCACCAGGGGGGGTCCAAAGGAATTCGCATTTAACGTGCTTTATGACGTTCAGATCAACCACTGGGCAGTTGCAACGTGTGAGGGCAAGGACATTGACTTGGCCAACGTTGGAACTTACGACTTTTGCCGGTACGGTTGAGATTTGAATCCAGCCAACCTTATTGTCTAACGTATTGGACCACCAGTTCAACTGTTGAACCGCATTATTTGACCGTTGATTTATTTTTTATTTTTATTTCTAGAAAATTACATGTTATTTTCATAGAAGATTAATGTTGAATGAACAATTTTGAATGTGTAAATGCAAAATATGATAAAACAAAGCATTTTGTTAATGAGTATTTAGATATTTTTTAAACTCATCATATTAAATAATATTTTTATCAATATGGTTAATTAATTATAAATTATTATATTAATATAAATTATTATTATCTTAACAAGACTTTAAAAACCAAAATTAGTTAGAAAATTAGTTTTTTCTCACTTTATAAACAAAAATCAGTTAGAAATGAAAGGTAATTACTTTTTAAATTCGAAATTTAATTTAATTAATTAATATAATTATTTTTAAAATAATATTTTATATAAAAAGTATAGAATTTAAAATTTAACATATGTAATTTTTTTATTTTTTAATTATGATATTATTTTTTGTTTATAGCTTTCCATCATAAGTGAAGAAATGAAACCGTAATTTTCACGTGTCAAATTCCTAGAAAATCAAATGTGGGGTCCTTAAAATCATTGCCGTTCATTCGAAATGAAACACACGCAAATCATGAACCATAACAAACAGCTAGTGAAGAAAAAATCGGTGTGTTAGTCGGCCATGGCGATTGCGAAGAAGACACGCTACCCTCATTTGACGGGGCCAAACTTCACGTGCCTAATTTCAATCCATTTTTCCGCCTTATAATTTCACGCCCAAAGCCTTTTTTCGGACCTAATTGAACCTTACAGAGATAACCGCAACAACCCCAATTAAGGAAGGATATTCTCAGTTACTTTCCTTAGGTGGCGCGTATTCTCCAGCCGCCACAATGGGCCAATCCCCTTCCGCTGCTTTGGATAGGGAAAACTCCCTCAGTGATCGCTTCAGCTTTTTATCCTCTTCTGGTTTCATTTCCAGCGAGGAATTTCCCGATGAAATCGCGACGAATCGGGATTACACCTCTGAGATTCCCGACGAGTGTTTGGCTTATGTTTTCCAATTCCTCGGCCCTGGAGATCGGAACCGGTGTTCCCTTGTCTGCAAGCGGTGGCTGTGCGTGGACGGTTGGAGCCGCCACCGTTTGTCTCTCAACGCCCAATCTGAGATCGACGTTTCTTTGCCTTCTCTCTTCACGCGCTTCGACTCCGTAACCAAGCTCGCCCTACGTTGTAGCCGTAAATCAATCAGCCTAACCGATGACGCTTTGGTGACGATCTCAATCTACTGCAAAAACCTCACACGGTTGAAGCTCCGCGGTTGCCGCGAAATTACTGACGAAGGAATGTCGGCATTTGCTGAGAATTCTAAGAATTTAAGGAAACTTTCTTGTGGTTCTTGCATGTTTGGCGCCAAAGCTTTAAACGCCGTCCTTGATTATTGCAAGAATTTGGAAGAGTTATCAGTGAAAAGGCTGAGAGGAATCCACGACGGAGCTGACCCGATCGGTCCAGGAGCCGCGGCTTCTACGCTGAAAATGATTTGCTTGAAAGAGCTCGTTAACGGTCAGTCATTTGAGCCGCTTGTGATTGGATCAAAAAGCCTTAAAACTTTGAAAATTATTCATTGTTTGGGTGATTGGGATAGAGTCCTTCAATTAATTGGAAATCGAAACGGGAAAGAAAATTTGAATTTTAATAACAATAATAATAGCAGTAGTAATTCTTTGATGGAAATTCACCTTGAGAGGCTTCAAGTAAGTGATATAGGATTATCTGCCATTTCAAAATGTACCAAAATTGAGAATTTGCATATTCTTAAAACCCCGGAGTGTTCGAATTACGGACTTGTTTGTGTAGCCGAGCAATGTAAGTTGTTGAGGAAGCTTCATGTTGATGGATGGAGGACTAACAGGATTGGAGATGAGGGTTTGGTTGCTTTAGCCAAACACTGTCCTAATTTACAGGAACTTGTTTTGATTGGTGTTAATGCTACCCATTTGAGCTTGGCGGCCATTGCTTGTAATTGTTCAAAACTCGAGAGATTAGCACTTTGTGGAAGTGGAACTATTGGTGATGCAGAGATTGCATGCATTGCAGCAAAATGTATGGCATTGAAGAAACTTTGCATCAAGGGATGTCCTATTTCAGATGTTGCCATTGAAGCACTTGGTTGCGGTTGTCCCAGCTTGATGAAAATTAAGGTGAGGAAATGTAAAGGAGTAAGCAGTCAAGCTGGCGAGTGGTTACGTGAGCAAAGGGCATCAATGGTGATCAATATGGATGCTTGTGAGATAGATGGTGGTTCCAAGGCTAGTGTCAGTGATGGTGGAGTTCATGACATTGGTGTGGAGTTTCATCAGCAGGAGGTTGGCCAAGTCATTGGTGCGGATGCTTCGACAAGCAGCAATGGTAGTTTAGCATTGTTGAGGTCCAAGTTGGGGCTTTTTGCTGGTAGGAATTTAGTGGCATTTACATTCAGAAGGTGGTCTAACAATGATGATAGTTTCAATAGCAACTTGTGAATGATCTTTGTAGTTGGAAAAATACTCTTGGTCTGATCACATTGCAAACGTTGTGAGTTTGTGATATTGAACCATTTTTTTAAAAATTCCTATTTGTATTTTTTATTTAGATTTTTTCTTGGAAACTTGTAAACCTTGATTACAAAGACAAATGGGAAACAAACAAGTGGCCAAGGATTTTCTCCTTATTGCTTATAGTTGCATCTCCACTCTTCCCTTTCTTTTTAATCTAATTATATGTTGAATATGCAATTTCTTCAGCAATATGCATAATGTTTTTATTATATTCTTTTTGATGGTTGTGTATATGTGTTATCGCTGTCTAGAGTAATTTGGATTTAATTCGCAATAAGAGATATAGCAGAATTGCCAGAAGCAAAAATGCTTTCATTTTCTGTGACAGCTTGAACGTCTGATATTGCAAGATGGTAAACATATCTCTTCGTCTCACTTTTTATTTTTTTAAAATTCTTTTGTTTAATTATTTCCTTACTGGGCTTAATTATTTCATGGGGAATTCATGGTCATTTTTGGGACTGCTGTTATCATTTGTTGCCCATTGATGTATTGAAAATGGCTAACACTTACAACCATTCTTAAGAAGTTAATTTAATAAATTTAAATATTTAAATCTCAACAAGTTAATTTAATAAATTTAATATTTAAATCTCAATGTCTGTAATTTTTTTCGTTATTTTTTATATTCAAATTTCAACATCTATGATCTTTTTCGTTATGTCAGGCTACGAATTATCTTGGCATCAACCACTTGTCCCTCCTCCAGAAAGGAGATGGAATAGAGAATGGGAATGGGCCTCAACACCAACAGGCAATAGCAAGCTAAATGGCTAATCACATTTTTCTACCCAAAAATAGCTCAATCCCACCCGCTTTGACAAATTCGATCAATCAAGAGTCGACGAAATTTTTATTCGATTCTCCCGAAAAATTCTAATAATCAAATTTTGATTTCGTGGAATTTGGAAGAGCCGGAGAAACTGAAACAAGTGGAAACATGGATGCTTCAAATCCAACGGGTCTATCATATGATTGGCTGAAGACTAAAAACTGTAATTGTTTTCTTAATTACTCATTTTGTACGACTATTGAGCCGAAAAATCCCAAAACCCTAAACCCTAAATGGCTGATTGATCCCGCCTCCTTAAATCTCTCACCTTATGTGTTGAATTCCGAATGGACGAGAAACTAGACACGGCCGAGAAGAAGGTAAAGCCCCATTGTATTTTAATTCCCTTTAGTCTTTGCAGCAATTATTGCATTTTCTATCGTCCTTTTTGCTAAATTCGGTTAGAAATTCCGTTATTATTAAGCAAAAGGACATTAATTGCTGTATTTTTTTTAAAATAAAATGTTAAATTTATTAAAAATTCAGTTTTTATTCCCTAAAGGTTCTAATGCTTGGTGCTGAGAATGAACAGGTTGCTGTTGATTGTGAAATGGTTCTCTGTGAAGATGGCACCGAAGCGTTAGTGAGAGTATGTGTTGTTTATCGTGATTTACAGGTATAAGTGGATTTTCTCTGCAGAATTAAAAAAAAAAAGTCATTTGATGCTACAGCAACTTAATGCAAACTAATGTCCAACATACCGTCTTAAAGGAATGCAAAACTTGCTATGAACCCTCCTCTTCTGTGTTTCTAATAAGGCAATTTGTATCCTCAAATTACTTTGATCGGAAGGGCAGTTAATTGTTAATTATCATTTGGTTATCTTGCACTAGCTAAAAAATAAGCTTTTTTTTTGTGATGTTTGTTTCTTTCAGGTCAAACTTGATGAACTTGTAAATCCAAACAAAGCAGTGGCAGATCATCCGACTGAGATTACTGGAGTTGCTGCATGAGATTTGGACGGTGTTGCTTGTTCCGTAGCAGACATACAGGTACAGGATGACTACTTTTTCTGTTTGTTGGGTCTCCTTCAGTGTTGTTTGTCTGAGCAATGGAGTGTATTCTGTAGAAATCCATGAAGAAGCTGTTATCCTAAGGAACTATTTTAGTGGGCCATAGTTTGCGCAATGATTAGCAAGGTATGTTGCATAATGGCTAAAATTTTGACTTCATTTTCATTTACGGTAGAGTCAACTGCCTATGAGACTTACTTTTCCTATATGTTGGCTGTAGCTATGATTTCCTTTCTTAAATGTGTAAGTGTTATTTTTTGGATACAGTGTTAAAGATAGACCATGCAAGAGTGATTGACACCTGATATATCTTCAAATATTTGGATGTGCCTATCTATAGAAGACCTTCCTTGAATAACTTATGCAAGGCAAGTATCAGAAAGTGCCTTTTTTTTCCTGATGAAAAGAACGGGAAATACTACAGCTGTTGTATTTGCATGTGTCATTTTCTTACCAAACTAAGTAGTGCATTGTTCTCCCTTTTTGGGTACTTAAATTAATTAGATATATCTAGGCTTTTTATTTTTCTCGTTTTTTAACTGCAAATAAGACTGCTTCGGTATTAGTCAAGACCTTGCATGGTGGCATAGAAGGCAAAAGTCTAATGGTAGTTTGAGATGCTTGTTTTAACTGTTCTGTGCATTGTTTTACAGTCTGTACTATGATATGAAGTTCGAAAGCCAGGTGCTGCTCATAATTGTCCGGATGATGCATGTGCTGCAATGAAAGTACTTCTTGCTAAGCTAGAGCATGGTGAGATTCCGTTGGTTTAAGAAGATGTATGGACATGTGACTGCTGGTTATCTTTAATTTCAACTGCTTACTATTATTAACTATGTATCTTTATTTTTTTCTGGAAAACCAGGTACCTAAAGCTGAAACGGAGAAGCTACTACTCCATAGAATACCAATCAATCTTCCTAGGGAAGAAATATCCAGGCATTCCTGGAAATGTTGCAATCGAAGTAAAGGTTGATTATATCCTACTTGTATCTATTTTTCTCTTTAGAAATCCTTGGTTGGCTTTTATTTAGGCTTTTATTTACCTCAGAGTGAAGCATATCTTATGTTTAGAAGATTGAGACTAGTGGAGTGGTGGTTTCTTATGAGATATTCTGTATAAGAAATTGATTAATTGGGATAACTGGATTGAAGATGTTCCTGTTCATTTAAAGTATTTTGTTGAATACTTTGACAAAATGCACTTATACTGTGGCACTTGAAAGATGAACTGAATTCTTAAAATTCAAACAATCCCTCGTTAAGGAAGCTGCTCTCAGGTGACTATTGTCCTTAATCCAACCTCTTCTTCTATATTCCAAAGATGGCAATAATAAATGTTTAAAAGTTTTAACAATTGGTCAATGGCTTGGACTTTCACAAGCACTCTTCCTTCAAGCTTTCTTTCTTTCTTTCATGTGCACTTATCCTTGCTGAGCTTCTAATATGCTGAATTATTTTTTGGCAGCCATCTGAAAAGGCTCAAGGTTGCCGTTACTCTGCATTTGCTGTCTTTAAAAGTCCTCAAGAAGCAACCAAGCATTTGAAAGTATAGAAGGCAATGACGAAAAGGTGCATATTTTTACAGCACACGCTGGTTTTTCATTTACAGGGCTAGGTTTTCTTCGTGATATATCAATAATCTCTTCTTCTTCCACAACATGGATGATGTCTGATGAACAATTTTTTAATGTCAATGCCTTGTATAAGAACCCCTCTTTGTGTCTTTTGTTAAGTGCGAATTTTAAATCTTTTTAATGTCTTATGTCAGGATTCATCTGGACTTCCTCAGAAACTAGTTGCATTTCAGTTCGGCAATGGTGTAACTGCTAGACTATAAATCCGGAAAATGGCACAGGATGATTCTCAGTACCAAGTTTTGTCAAATAAAAGAGCATTCCAGGGTGAGGAGTCATCTATTGAATCCAAAATGATTAAGACTGACCAGAGTGTAGAGAAGACAATGACAAATCCCAATCAACTTGATGATCACTTAAAAACAGATCCGAAGATTGAAGCAACAACTGAGGGAGAAAGATGCTCGCATTGTTTAACAGGATAAGACGATATCTAACCTTCTAAAGAAGGTTGGTGAACTGAAAAAGGGCCTAAAACAACACAAAAAACTGGGGCTTAACTTACTCATCCAGTGGTTTTATAGTCTCACTATCCCCGATATGGTGAAAGTTTTTATTCAGTTATGTTATGAGTTAGGAACTCACGCTTTCTGCCTTCTACGAGGAATTGTTTTCTTTGAACCTCAGGTCCTCAGCCCGAGGGCTACTTATTCCTTTTTAGCTTCTTGTGTTTAAATGAATAAATAAAAAATTATCTAATCAAAATTAAGTGGTAAAATTCTAAAAAAGAGAACAATAAAATAAAATAGTACTATGCAAATTAAATAATTGTATAAATAGTAATTATAGAAGAGTGAAAAAAGTAATGATATGGAGTTATATAAGGTGAAAAAGTTAAAAAAAAAAAAAAAGTTCCACTTGAAGAAATTTTTTCTCCATTCAAGCCTTAAAGGGCAACAAATTAAAAATTTTTTGTTAGGGACAAACAGTAGAATTTTAGCCAATTCTTTAATTTTGTTAGTGTAATATTCTGTAATTGTGATATTATGATATTATAATTAGAATAATATTAAAAATTATTAAAATATTATAATTAGAATATGTCTTATGTAAATTTTTTAAAAATTATTCCATAAATAAATACATTATCTCTACATAATATTTTTTATAATTACAAAATTTTACATGATATTACATTAACAAACTTGATATCAACTTTTTAAACTAAAAAACTCGATATCTACTTATTTTCTAATCAGTTCATTTTTTAACATAAAAATATGCCAATTATTACTTTTTCAAGCTTATCAATTGGAATTAGATTTCTTTGGCCAAGTAATTAGAATAAGATGATTAATCAACCAAATTGGATTTTGCCCGAACCGGTCGATGACGTTGACGCAACAAAACGCATGTGCTGAACCAAGAGCCGAAAATATCAGAGGCAAAGGAAAGCTCTGTAGTTTGTTATTTTCAGGGAAAAAAATAACCGAAAAGGAAGAAACTTGTTTCGGGCAAAAGGAAAAAAGAATAGGCTTTGAATTTTTTAGTGGGGGCCACCGATGGAGACCGAACCAACCGGCGGTGCCCTGGGCGGTGACGATCTATCTTCGTCGTCTCCTGCAACCGCCATATCACGGTGGACTTTCGAGGTGTCGCGGCGATACCAGCACGTCCTAGACAAGACGGTGCCGCACATTCTCAACCGTTGGATCGGATGTCTAGCCGTGGTGTTGATCTACGCCGTTCGCGTGTACTTTGTGCAGGGGTTCTACATCATCACCTACGGCCTCGGTATCTACTTGCTGAACCTCCTGATGGGATTCCTTTCCCCTCAGGTGGACCCTGAGATGCAGGAAGGCCCCACGCTCCCCACCCGCGGATCCGACGAGTTTCGCCCTTTCGTCCGCCGACTCCCCGAGTTCAAATTCTGGTTCGCTATCTCAATCTTTATTTCAACGGTTGTGATTTGATGAAATGATTGAGTGTAATTAAATTGGGGTTCGCTTTCTGTCTGAAGGTACTCTATCACGAAGGCCTTCTGCATTGCATTTGTGATGACATTCTTCAGTGTGTTTGACGTGCCTGTCTTTTGGCCAATTCTCCTTTTCTATTGGTTAATGTTATTCATCCTCACCATGAGGAGACAGATAGTACACATGATCAAATACAAATACGTTCCTTTCTCATTTGGGAAACAGGTATTCCTTAATCCATCTTCCTTTGTGACTGTCATTCGTGATTAGACTGCCAATTCGTGTATTCGTATCTGTTTTGTGTCAAACACGCAAAAAAGACGAAAATTATTGTACTCCAAACACGAAACATTCTTTATCAAACACATGTACGAAATATTCCGTGGTAAATAAATATTGTTCTTTGTTTCTTTTGTTAGCGATATGATGGCAAGAAGGCGTCTTCAACAGAAAACATGAACCTTCCTAGGGATTAAATTCTTCAGGTATATATCACATACTTCAGGTTAATAAATATTTTTCTTTGTCTCTTTGCCATGAATTCATCTTTGTTTGGACAGTTGAATTCCGTAGGATTTGCTGGTAATGCAAGTCGTCTGAAGGGATCATCAGTCACACGTTTTATATTTGTTCATTTTCTCCAGCTTTTTACTGGATTAGCTTTCAGATTAGTGGAGAAGGTTATTTTAGAGGAACCAAAGTTATTGCCAAAGAATGCTTTGTATGGAAAGGACAGGTAACATTTGTTGTTGCCCATATTTCATCCAATAACATGTATTTTACAGAAGATAATACCAATCAAGCAGTGCGGTTGGTTTACATTAAATGTAGTTTTCAATAGTACTTTTGAAGTTGAAATACCCTCTTGTTCTTGGGGATGCTTTTTACCTCAGCAAGCTCCACAACATTCTTGGAATTCTGGATATTTTATCATCCTTTTGCACATGAGCATCTGCTTTGCCCTTGCTATTGACCACAACAATTAAGGCTTTTATGAAATTTTGTGGTTCTGAGAGTGAGGCTTGGGCTGAAGTCTTTTCAACATTAGTTGAAACTTACTGTCTTAAATCACTGAATTTATTTTGTCAAGCAGGCGATTTTATTGTCATATGTAATATCTGATTCAGTTAGTAGAATAGCAGAATCAACTGGTTAGGGTTTTGGGTGATAACCACAAAGCATACTTTGCCAATTTTAAAATGGTGCTTCTTAAGCGTACAAGATGCAAATCAAGATGAACCGGAAGCTTAATTTTGTTGGTTTATGCAATTAATTTTAATAAGCAGTATTCAACGGATCTGGAGTTCAAATCTTAATATCTGTTTTCCCTTTCCTTATTCAAAGATTGTGGCTTTCTTTGTTAAAAAAAGTGCTAATCAAGATGAAAGAAATAAGAACTTTCATGCCTGTTGTATCGAAAACATATCTCATGTTAAAAGAAAAGATGCAAGTAAGTGAAGATGAAGAAACTATCATGGCTGATAATTCCATAGTTGGCAAACCAACAACGGCATTACTGCATTCTTTTGTATTAAGTGTATGATGATACAAAGGCATCAGTGAAGTATCACATTTTTCCTAATTTATAAGGTTTCTTAAACCAATAATTGAAGAAATGAATGGAAGTCATTGATGTATGTAAACACGTCATCTTCAAACAGAAAGGAGAGACTGATAAGAAGACCTTGCTGAATTCAAGTACTTGGCCTGTAATATCCATAAACTCCATAGAAGGTCTGAGCAAAAGTAAGCACCAGCAAGACACAAGCAGCAAAAAGTGAGATGATGGCCCAAGGATTGTTGACTGTGTTTCAAGGCTGCACGCCAAGCATTCCACCTATGATTGTAATATCTGTTCACATCTTCAGACAATTGAGAAAGATAACTGTTATTGATATAAAAAACAACCTCTTGACAGAGGCGGTTGAAAAGGTCGGCTACTTTGCATCACTGCCAAGCCAGTGCTCGATGATACCAAAGTAATGGAGGTATCCCACATCTTCATGTGAGTTGATCAAGTTATCCATGAATATCACATAGGAAGTAATATCGTTGCTGCAATCAAAATGACATTGCTCAAATGCAATCAGATTGAGGAAAAGGGTTTTGGTTCCATCATGAAAAAAGAGGCGAGGAATGAGGAGGATCCCATTCTTAAACTCAATGTCCCAGAAGCGATCAGTCTTCCTTTTCTTGAACTTAATACCAGCCTCTCTGAGCTCTGATACACAATGAATTAATTGTTGTCTTCGCTTATCAGCAACAGGAATAGCATTTGACCTTTTGGGGCCAGAGCGTCGGAGACTTCTTCTGTAAACATCAAGGCAATGGAGGCCACCAAGATCAGAAAAAGCATCGAAGGTTTTTGTGTGGCCCAGAGAGGATCCCAATTTGTTCATGTCACTCTTTCTCAGTGGCTCATCCGTTGGTATTAAAGGGTCAAAGAATCTGATTGCTAACTTGGTAACCTTTCCCTTCTGGTCAGGCTCACCAAGCTGAATCCCCAGTAGCCTATCAAGAACAAAGAGTGGAAGCTGGTTCTCTAACATTATCATGTCTCTATGAATAGCATGCATCAAGCCACGCATTGCAAAAACAGGATCATTTCTAGCATAGCCAAGACGTTGGAATCCTTCAGCAGCTCCTTGAAAGAGCTCAAGCACAAAGCAGCCATCAAGAACCAACATTTCCACGAATTCATTGCTACTAAGAGTGATGGTTCCTTCATAACAGGCACGAGCTCTTTCTTCAAGTTCCTTCATGGAATCAAGATACACCGTATTACCTGATTAGTACGCTTTAGGACACGGTGAAGAGAACGCCACTTGTGCTGATCCATTTGGCGTAGTTACCATCATGTAAGGTCCCAAGGAGACAAATTGGGGGACGTAAGCTTTGATATCACCTTCTCTTAGGAATTGGGGAACTCTATAGATGCTCAACCTTTCCCATGAACCTGCTGCATCATCTTGGCGTGCCTGCTTAAGCTTTTCTTTAATGGATATAATCCACTCAGACTCCAGTGAAGTGACTTCCTCTTCACGATTCCACCATCCTCATTGATTGCAGCCTGCAGGGAATCAGATGGTACATGCTGTTGTTTCTGCAGCTGATGTTCATATTCTTCTGGCAACTCAAGGGATTTGGTGGTACCTGTAGATGATCTAGGAATTCCAGATTCCACGGTTTCCCTGAGTTTGAGGGTGATTAGGTACCAACTCAGGAGCTCTTTGTTGAACACAGCTACCATTTTAATTGACAAAAGCAATTCTAGAAATGATTTGCCTTGAAAAGGATGCCTTCCTATTAACAGGACAGATTTGAAACTTCTATTACCAAAAAACAAATTTGACTCATAAATACACAAAATCGTTGAATAGTAATAGTAATTGATATAAAAGGAGTTGGAATTACTTATTTGATGCTTTAATTCATCTGAACCAACTGTGTAACCCACATGGACCCCCTTTGGCTTAGAATAACAGCTTCCTGATGCCTTTCTAGGTATGATGTTTCATTCCCAACTTTTGAAAGGTTCATTCCTTATCCTCCAATATTTCTATTTTGTTCAACTTATAATCATATTCTCACATCAGCAAAGTGGAATTCTCCTAATTGGGGGTATAAAGTTTAGAAGTTTTTCTCAGCCAACTTCTGAAATTGTCTTCAAAGCGAGCAGCAGCAGATTACTTGCAAGTTTAGAGTATCTTAAACGAATGTACTACTACAAAGGATGATGCAATTTGCCTTGGAAATTAATTACAGTTGGCTGGCCAATCAGAGGAATCTCAACCGCAACAGGTCCATTTGGGATTTTTGACACATGGATGAAATGAAAGAGGAGGTTGATATCAGTTTTAGTCATGTGATGATGCACAGGAGGTGGGACATGAGCAAGCTGGAAACTTCATAATTGTATAAAATTTGCCTTGACTTAACCATTTTGGATTAAACTAGAAAATTTTAATGCATGCCAATGCCATGTCATTTCTAAGGAACTTGAAATTAAAATTTCTGTACATGTCAAAAAAAAAAAAAAAACAACAACACTCGTACCAAGGTGGAATTTGAATAGAAAAACCAAGCATTGTATTCTTCAAATGCTCTAAAATAAGCACAGGTCTTTAAGAAATTGAATAGGCACAGAGTAGGAACAGAATCTCACCTCAAGCAATTCGAATAATTGCTTTCTATGTATATTAATCAATCATGTTTGGTATGAAGGAAAAATGAAGAAGAGAGAAATGGGTAAGAAGCAACATAAGCTATAAACAATATCAGCATATGTAGTTGATCTAATTGCTAGAGAGAAGTGCTTGGCAAAGAAAGATAAAGACTTTTGAATTAAAATTGCAGTAATCACAACAATACCAGTTTTTCCAGTTGTTTTGATAAATGAAAATATATATGTATAACAATGACAATCCAAACAACATAAACGGCCTCCACTCCTATGGATAACTTAGACCGACAAGACATAGAGAGGGAATTTTCACAGCAAGCACCATTATTTGCATCATTCAGTCCTTGTGTTCCTCTCCGATGGCCCAAAACAAGCAGCTGAGACATTTTAACTTCCAATTAGAACTGCAGGTTGCAGCAAAGATTTCAAGCACTGCTGATCTTCTCAGTGGTTTCATTACTCCAGTAAGGTTTGATGGCGTTTGCCCCATTCTTAATAGGATAGGAAGCCTCCATCGCAACGCCACACTTGCCAGTATAGGCATCAACATTACGCTCCATCCTTATGTATCCATCTTCACCCCAGCTGCTGCCCCATGAATTTCTCACAATCCAGTATTCCTCACCATTATCATCCGTGCCATATCCGACAGCAACCACGCCATGGTCTAATGCTGATCCACATTCACCAGTGAAAACTCCCTGAAAATATGTTTAAACAATGACAGCTGAGTTAATAAAGCACTCCAATTTCTTTTAAAGATTGTTATTGACAGTTTGACATGTCTCATCAACATTTTTTTGCCTGGGAAAGATTGTTTATTATGTTAGAAATAATTCAATGAAAGATTGATCTCTTTTGATCAGCTAAATACTAGAGTATTATTTTAAAATCAAATAACGGCTCCAAGGACAACAACATTCAAATAAGGGCAGCCGGAGAATAGGTCAGCTTACAGATTCATAAAATTGGAAAGCTCTGCCACCAGCTTCAATGGCAACACTCACAGGCTGATGTGCCACAGCTTTCTTTAAAGCGCTCTCATCATAGGGAATAACATCCTCGTACCCATCAATGCTAACAACCTTAGCATTCTTCTGTTAAAAGTCCAAAACAAAAAAGGATCAAAATCCATAACCATTAAAAACACCTGAGCTGCAAGATTACTGTCTTAGAATTAAACTTTGGACACTGACCCTAGTTGGATCACATTGGTCATCAACCCCAAGGTAAGGATAGTCTTCTTCAGTGTCAATGCCACCGTTGTCCATAATGAATTGGAAGGCATAGTCCATCAGGCCACCATTGCAACCTGCGTCGTAGGATCGGTCACAATCTACCAGTTCTTGTTCTGATAGAGAGATTAGTTCGCCGGTGACAATTTTGTTTATGCCTTCCACTGCTGCAATGGTTGAGAATGCCCAGCAACTTCCTGATCAAGTGAAGATAGATAACAGGGCGTGTAAGTTGAGTTTCTGTAAACTAGACATGGCAATCTCAAACATGACATAATAACACGAGGCTTGAATTTTGGTAGTCTTGAATTACTTGAAAACAGGCTCAGTTCAAATCTAAGGAAGGCTTTGGAGTATCCATAAATTTCACTTTAATTTTGAGCCTTGGCCCAACGTGTTCTTAAGTAGGTTAGACATGTCTCGTGATGACCTTGGGCTGCCCATCCCACAGATTTTTGGCCCAAGTTATGCATGTCTAGTCTTTACTTGGCTTTAAGCCCCAACCTCCGAACTACCATTCAATTTTCATAACTAGTATTCAACCGCCTATCATAGTCCGGTTTTTAAGAAATAATAGGAAATTAATAAATAATAATTTTAATTAAAAATATTATAAAATTACCTTAAAGCCTTAAGTCACAAATCATCTGATATTCTAATATCACCCGTTTTATATTATATAAAATATAATTAATTTAAAGTTGAAATTAAAAGAAATTTACTCACCACAATAGCCTTGATCCTTGACCGGATTAACAGCTCCATGATCTCTCCAGTCTACTGACTCCGGCAAGCTGTCACCGGCACGGGAAGCGTAACGTTGGCTGGGGTTCTTGGACTTCATGACTCGACGCCTAGGCTCACTCCTCATGCCCAAAAACTTGTCACGGTACTCTTGGTTAGTTAAATCTGCAAACTTGTTCAACCCAAGCTTGTACGTCATGTTCTTAGAGTTATGTTCATCAATGAATTTCAAGTTATCCTTAAAGATCTCGAATCTTTTCTCTTCCTCTCCGACACCGTTGTATGCTTTGCCATGTTTCAGGACCCAAGATTTGTACAAGCTCATCACCTCATCATGGCTTCTCCAGCTTGATGATGTTGATGAGGGATGGTTTTGGTTTAAGGTTGTGATGGACATGTCTCCAGCAGAAGATAGGGTGAAGAAGAAGAAGAAGAAGAGGAAAACAAGGGTGGAAATGGTTATTTCCATGGGAGATTTGAAACGGGTCGTCATGTTTCTTCAAGAGAAAGGTTGAGGAGAGTGATTTGATGAAGAAGAAGGAGAGAGGGCTTCAGAGTTTATAAAGACAATGGAAATTGTTTAATATTCAAGCGTGGAAAATCATTGACAATGGAAAAGTTAAAAGGAAAAAAGAAAAGGTTATTAGGGGCCAGCGCCAGACCAAACTCATAGAAATAGAAGGCAGAAGACAGGCTTTTGACCTTGTGGTCGTTGGTTGTCACTAGAAAATAGAAGTACCGAAGGCCAGCCGAGTCCATTGGAACTTGGATAAAGCAGGGCGCCAGGGCGGTAGCAGCCTGCCAAAGCCTTTGGTAAAGCGAATGAGGTGTTGCTACATAAGATTTCCATGCAGTTTCCTAGGGGGGAAGGGTTTCTCTTTACCCGCTAATCAAATTCCCAACAAAAAAAAAAATGAAGTTACAAAAAAGATGACATGAGAATCCTAGAAAAGAAAAGGAAAAAAGCACTCTCCTCTTTTTTTCTTTTTCAATTGTAAAGACTATACGATCAGAAGAATCCAAATGAAATTTCTTTTCTTCTTTTCTAAGTAAGTAGTAATGAAGAAATGATTCAATTGTATTTACCAGATTGCATGTGATGTTGCGTGATTGTAACAGACAGAGTTTGCAAGTTGAAAAACGTATAAATGAACTCCATCATCATCTGCTCTAATATGCATAGTTGTCTGTCTGCAGTTGGATCATAGGCTACACACCATAGCAGTAACATGCTTTGATGTTCCTTTTTCTCAGCTTATGAAACTATTGCAAATCCCAAAATTGGCTGGGAATTTGTAAAATGAATATATTTCTCAGTTCTCAATCAATCTTTTTGGCTCAATATGAGTATCCCTAGATAATCATTAGGTCAATCTCATGCGAAAATTTCAGGAGTGCTTCTATTTACATCCCATTTTTTTCCCTCTACATCATACTTTCTTTTTTATTTTATAATCTTTTGAAATTTTTGAAAAGTCGTAACACTTTTTGAAAAAACATTTTTTGAGAGTGTTAGAGTAAAATTTTATGAAAAATTATAAAAAAATTTTATTAAAATTATTTATCAAATAGTGTAATGAAAAAAATTATTATTAAAAAATTATAAATTTTAAAATTAATAAAAAAAATTACTTTTACTATTTTAATCTTAGAGAATGTTTGATATGAGATTATTCGTCTAAAAATCATGGTAATTTACATTTAGTAATTACATCACCTTATTTGATAACAATTTACAAATCCCGTGGTATGAGATTTTTTGTCTAAAAATCATGGTGATTTACATTTAATAATTACATCACCTTATTTGGTAATAATTTAAAAATCTTATGTGATAGTGATTTCAAATCATTAAGGTGATAAGCTTACTACCTTGAGGAGTGATAGGATTTTCAACCTAAAAGATAAGAAAATTTTATCACTATGGGAAAATAATTTTTATTATCATTTTTTGCCTAATTTATCTTGATGAAAGATGCACTTAACTTGTTTTTAGAAAGCTGAATTGTAAAAATTTTCAAAAATCTATTTTTTAATAACTTGTTTTTAAAAAAAAAAGTTTTCCATTGCAATTGAATAAATATTTATTGATTGTAAAAATAATAAAATTATTTAATAATTTTTTTAGAAATTATTTTTCATCAAAATTAATTTATATTTTATAGATTTATATAAAATAACATTAATAATTTTATAAATTATCGATTCAATAGGTATTAAATTTTTTACTTTTTTTAATAAGATTATTTTGGATATTTTATATTATATGATTTTGTTATATAATACCAAATATAGTAATTTAAGATCACTAGTGATCTATAATATTATACCAAACATAATAATCTAAGATTACCAATAATCAAATCATCTTGGTAATCTTATCACCATGTTAATCTTAAAAATGAAACCAAAACGTTAACTTAGAGAAAGACCAAAATCTTATGAAACCCTAATTAAATATTTCATTTCTTAATATTAAGAAGAGTGATCAAAGAATTATCAAGTCTAAACTATCATGTTTAATCGATATATAAAAGTTGAAACTTCTCAAAATTGTATAAATAATATTACTGAATATTACACAATTTTGTCAAAATCTAATATAGTAACTAAAGAAACCTATTGTAAAAAGTAAATGGAAAGACTTCTCCAAAGAGTTAAGTTTAGTTAAGAGTTATTATAAAATTTTAATAATCGATATAAAAAAATATTTATTAAAAAATAATAAATTTTAAATTTATAAAAAAATTACATTTACTATTTTATCTTTAATTTAATTAGAATTTCATAAGATTTTATTTTATTTTTCAAGATCTAACTTTTTTATTATTTTTAAAATTTATAATTTTTTAATATTAAATTTTTTATTATACTAATTTATAAATAATTTTAACAAAATTTCTTTTTTTATAATTTTTTATAAAATTTCACTTTTTAACGGATAAGTGTTATGATTTTTTGGAAATGGATATAAAATATATCAGATATAGATATCCGAAAATTTGTGAAAAAGGTATTTAAGTAATTTTATTTAGAAAAAAAATTGAAAAAAAATGTAGAGAGAAAAAAATTGGAGGTGTAAATAGAATTTGCCAATTTTCAGTTGATAGTTAGATCCAGAGTTAAGCTAATGGTCAATAGAATAAAAGCCAAGGAACCCCCTCGAACCACTCTCCCTAACCTGTTCATAACTTCATTAGCTGTTACGTAGAATGAAAAACAAAAACTGAGCCTTCCCGGTAAATTTCTTGACAACATGTAATTTGTTTTTGAGATTCTTTACGTTGGCAACCGCCTACTGCCAAAGGCATTGGCTTCAAAAACTTTGGGTCGCCAGTAGACCATCTTCGCCTACACGTTCCATTTTGCCCATTTGCTTAATTTCTACATTCTACAGAGAAAATTCACAGGGAATGACGTTATTGAGACTTTTTTCTCTTTCGTTTACCATTTTCAGGTTTACCACAGCTATAAATGAATGAAAATTTTATTATTTCTGGTGTTGTATTTACCAAATACCAACGATTGAACACAGCTATATAATTCCTATTAGAAGATTATGTATCAATTTGTAAATCTTAAGCATGTCAGATGCAAAGCTTCTCGCAAGGCAAGAGAGCAAGACTTGGCTGACACACCTCAATGAAACAGATATATCAATCACCCCAACAAACTATAGATGGGGAAAAAGAAAAGAAGAAAAAAAATTTGTTGAAATTCAGGAGGAACTTAAACAGAAATGCATGTATAAACTGGGTTGCTGTGAGAGGTGCCTATCCATATGTACCCAACACCTATAAGACCATCTGCATTTCCCCCTTGTCCATCAAATTTCTTGGCGCAGCTGTTTCCAATCCTCAAGGCATTGATTGCCAGCTAATGATTTTAGTTTTGTTCAGAATGCCTTGTTGAAACCTGTGTGTCTGTTCTTGTTTCATGCTTTCTTTTACTTCGATGTTTTGATCTGGATGTTCTTGTCTTTGTAGTATGCTTCACTATGGGCTCTTGGATGCCTATCACTGGTTTTTCATTAGCAGGGAATTCAGGGGGAGCATCAGGCCATGGAGTTCGTTTTGACGGGATGGTGATCTCCAAAGGTGGGTCAATTATCCATCTGCATGATGTACAAACTACTGATCAGATGGCATGGTGAGGAGACCAAGCAGGAGGAAACTGATTTGAGTCATCAAAGTTGAAAACAAAATACACAAAACCAACTGTAGACCATGAAATGTGTAGCATGCAAATATAAATTACGGGATCATGGAGCATCAAGCATGCATGACATGTTTATATTGAAGAAACATCCTCAATTAGGTTTAAAATGTTTTCAATATTGGCCAAAAATTATAAAGATATATAAATCTACTTATAATCACAATGAATTCATCAAATACTTAAAAAATGTCAAAACCTGTTGAATATGGTACATCGACTTTTGCATATAGATTACAAACAATTATAGTAGATACTTTTCTTAAGGTTTCTGTTTCACAGAAACAAAAATTTGTAAATTTTTCTTTAATGTTAAAATAAATGGGCTAGGTTTTAAAAGGTGAAAATCAATTAGGAATTCAGCAAAAATAAGAGTTTAGAGCATCCAAAACAGGAGAGGAAATGGATAAATTCCATCTATAATCCCTAACATTTTATTCTAGTACCACTTCAGTCCCTGACTTCTGAATTGTTCTATTTGAGTCTTTAACTTCTTAAAGTGGTTTCATTTTGTTCATTTGTCACATTTTTTCATTAATAATTGAGAAAAATATCAACCATGCATGCCATGTAAACAATAATATGAAAATTATTTCAATATTAACAAAATTATTTTAGGGAAGGTCTAAAATGGAACCATCTTAAAAGGTTAAGGATCCAAATGGAACAATAAAAAGGTTGTGGACTAAAGTGGAACCAAAATAAAAGGTTAAGAAACTATTTCAGGACATCCAAAATGGAATGGGACGGGAGTAGCACACATTCACACCACAATGCATCTTAACTCAAAAGTCTCAAACTATTAAATTAGCACATATACATTGTAGTTTGTATACATTTTCAAGTAAATCAAGGAATAATCATCCCTTAGTTGACAAGTCTAACAAATGCAAAGACTACCATTGGTGAATCAACCTAACATATCAGAAACAATGATAAGCGGTCAACAATATTATATACGGTATTAAAAAATCCAGTAAAAAGAAAAAACAAGAATATAATGTAAGATGCTAAAGTTTAAGATAGAACATCACAAGATATTCAACCTACGAATTCATAAGAGCAACAACCATGGTAACTCTATGATTATTGACTCAAGTCTAATCCATCTGGTTCAGAGGAGAAAAAAGCATAACAGACACAACTGATTCCTCACACTTTTGTTCTCATGCCACATTGCACCCTTTGCATTCTAAAAATCAATGAAAAGGCTTACTTTTGATAATGAAGCACCAAATGATGAAAATTTCACTACAAAATTTGAAAGAAGGGTGCTTAATTTGGCATATGTCAATGCTTATAATGAGTTGACACATCATCAGAACAGTCAAGATTCATTGACAAGTGAGTGCGAACCGAATCAATTAGTTATCTGGTATTCAAGTTTCTTACTCTATGATCAGTCTGAAATGGATTATATTATCTAAACTTCTATGAGACATAATTATAAAAACGTAAATCATGTGACAAGGAAGAACTACATAATTAGCACAGTTATAAACCACCACTTAATATTAACCATTCTGAACTTGTTGATATTTTAATTGATTATTGCTAAACCCATTAGGCAGTGAATAGTAAAATATAATGAGAACAGGATGAGAGATTCACCTGGGAGGAAATTTGCTATCAGCACGAGCTTCTACTCGAAGCCACCAGAGCAAAACTTGACGTCCACAACTTCCAAGTGGCTCCACCACCGAAGGGTCTTTAACCAAACCCAACGGACTGTCAATATCCCCATCCAACATATCAATATCCCTAATCCATTCCGGTTTATCTCCACCATCCTTCCAAAGCAACCTAGAATTCAAAACAAACCCTGACCACTCCAACTTCCTAGGCAGCACAGTTGCTCTATCATCAATATAAACGGCACTTTTTCCTGCAAAGGGCAATGTATTAAAAGTATGCCATCCTGCCAACATATTAGACGCGTTACAAGCTGGACCTTGAACCGGCATTCTAGCATTCTCCTCTTCATCCTTCTTCTGATCCGCCGTCTCATCAGTATTAGCCGCATTAACAAGTATTCCAACTGAAACTGCCCCGAACCATTTCACATTTTGGATCTCATCAAAAAGTTCCATACTATGCATATTACTATCATCCGCAAACATAACAATCCCATCCAATTTCTTCTCTCTTACAATTCTGCCCCCAAATTAACACAAATCAAATCAATTCTACATTACTAACAACCTAATTCCAAAACGCATAAATTGTAATCGTTTTATTTCAAAATAAATATAGATTAAATAAATAATTACCTTAAAGCACGAAGGCGCATTTTGGACTCCAATTTACTCCGTTCGTCCCAGGAATTCGGCATCCGTTGATTGAATCCGACGTGGATGGTTTTCACACCGGATTTTGCAATAAGCGACGCCGTTTCATTGCTGACTCCACCGGCTTCCACCACGATCCAAACCAGATCGTACGGAACCAGCATTAGCGAGTGCATCACACCGGTCAAATGTAGCGCTTGGAAAGTCCGTACATATGTCGGCGTGACCACGATAACTCTCCTGGGATCCTTCACACCGAATTGGAACCTCTGCTCCTTTTGAACTCTTTCTATGATCCGATGCGCCTTCATGACCTCAATCGGGTTCGGGTGCGGCCACGGCCTGATCCGGATCCCATGCCGCCCGACAACCACTCGCGAATTCATAGCCGTCTTGTTCAGCAACGGCAACTCGATGTTGCTGACGGGGTTGGTGGACAGAACGGAGCGGACATCTAGGGTTTTGGCAAGTTCGGCAGTGGAGCGAAATGGCGACGTATAGAAGTTGGTAGAAGAAGTGGAGAACAAAAAGAAGAACACTAACCGAGAAAAGCGGAAGCCGAGGACTAAGCTGATTAAGCAACAGAGACCGTGGAGGACAAGCCAGAATATGGCGGCTGGCGATTTAATGGCGCTGTCAGAAGATGAATCTAACGGTCCTGATGATCTGAAGCTGTTGCTCCGACGGTTGAGGTAGCTCTGCTGCAACACAGAAAGCTTCATCTTTTGCCCCTCTCCTGAAACTCCTGCTAGAGAGAGGAGAAGAAGTAGAAAGTTATGGAAATTTAAGAGCAAATCTTGGTTTTAATTTCTGGGTTGGTTGATTTGGTGAGATGGGACGATTTAAGACTTGATTAATGAAACGATTATGATTACTTTGGATTTACGGTTGAATTGATTTTGGGTTATTGTCAGTTTGCTGCTTTTTGATTGGCTGCTATCTTCCTCTCTTCTCTTCTTTCTTCCGTTTGGTTTTATTTTTAGTACAGTGAAAGCCTGAAAGGGAGAGGGGAAGACAGACATTAGCCCATGATTCAGGGACCAGCGGGCAAAGCTTAATGCTTGAATTTAGACAAAATTAAAAGCTGGAATTCGTAAAACACGAGGAATTTTCTTCTCCTAAATTTGCTAAATCAGTAATTATAATTATGATTAAAAACAACAGGACATAACATAACTAAACCGTTAGAATTTATTTATAATTGTAATTTCTGATATCTGTAAATTCCATAAAATAATTGAATTATTAAGTATTTGCAAATCATATATTATTATATAGTTCTACTAGATTTCAAAATTATATGGATTTTTTTTTGTTTATTCTTTTGTTTTCAAGTATATAACTATATTTTTTATGAGTAATATTTTTTTTAAAACGACTTCTATCAACTACTTAGTTGATCCTAAGTTGACTTCATGAATTATATCTTATAATTCATGATTTTTTGTTTATTTATATCTTACCAAGACCCAAATATTAATTGCCTTATATTTACTGGATAATAAAAGAATATAAAGCTCAATTTTGTTTACAAAAAATAAAATAACCAACATTAACATAAATAGAAAAAGATCATCTCTATTATTTAAAAAATAATAGAAATTTTCATTATTTTTTTCAAAAACGAATAACATATTTTTATCTAAATTTGTGATTGAAATTTTCATAATTTTAAACTAAATATAAAGTTAAATAAAACTTAATTAAAAATTATTTCAACAAATATTAATTTTAAATTTAGATTAAAGTTATTCATCTCTAAATAAAATAGTAAAAACTTTCATTATTTGTGAAATAATTGAAAAAACCCTTCCCAATATAAACATCTAATAACTTTGTTTTTAGAAGAACTTCTAATAATTTATTTGTGAATAATAGTTTATAATTATTAAAAACTAAATTTGTTAATTTAAAATACAATATAAAAATAATATAAAAAAAGAATAAAAAATGATATGATTTAAAATTTTAATAATAATTATATATAAATTTAATAAAATTAAAAATATATATTTTATATTTTGTGTCAATATAAATTATGATATGTAATTTTTTTATAAAACACGATATAAATATAATAATTTTAATATTCTACACGATATGATAAAAATACATAAGTCTCCAAATCTAATAGAAACACCAAGTAAAATACACAACTATTTCAAAAAAATAGAGGAGCCTTTAAGATAATAAATACAATAATATGATATGTTTTTTAAATTGCTATATAATAAAATTAAGTTTAGATACAATATTAAAATATTTTTTGTTATATTACTAAATATATGTTAGAAATTATATAAAAATATAAAAACCAATCTTTATGAAAAAAAATTGTAAGAAGATTTTTAACTATTAGTGACAAAAGAAAAAGAAAAATTTTAAATATGTACTTATAGCAATATGAGAAACGAAGTCCATATAAGATTATGCCAATGATCAGGTAATATAGGAAGATCAACTCTAATGAAATCATACAAATTTTTTTTCATCATTTCCCTTCTTTTCTTCTGTTTTTTCTTTGTCAAACAAAGAAAATGATTATCCTCTTTTTCATTTTCTTTCTACTCATTGTCATTTATATATTTTTTTTTCTCTTCTTCCAAACACAGAAAAAACAACAATTGCACAAACTTTTCAAAGTTGGGCCATAACATTTTTGTTGATTCATCAACATAAAGTGTTGCCATAGGACTGAAATTATTCGATTAATCACTATTCCTCAATGAAACTTAAAAAGCTAGAGATGTCACAACAATTACAAGCATAAAATAACTTTTTGATTGTTCCTATTTTTCAATCTAAAAATTCCTTGGCAACACTCGAACAATCATGATTGCTGTTAGAAAAACTATTATTTTCAATAGTAATTATTTATTATTAATTTTTATAAAAAAAGTTACAGTTTGGGTAGAAAAAAATAATTACAAAGATTAAAATTTGAATCCGAACTTATTAATTATTATCTTTTAAAATTATTTATATAAATTAATTAAAATAAATATCGAATTCAATTAATTAATATTTTTGTTTATGAATTTACAAATATAACTTAATTATATGCATTTAATTTAAGCGACAAGTCAACATTGATTATTCTTTTTTATAAAGTTAAATCATTATAACGTCTTAAATTGAATTTAAAACCTCAGTTTTAGAAGTTACAACTGTATACCATGTGAGACTGTTCTCTTCTTTGATTATTTTTTCATTAGAAATGTGTGAGTATTCGATAAAACGAGGCAAAGAGCTTGAGGAAACGAATGCGGTTTGGAAAACGGTTGAGTACAAAAGAGAGAAGCGGTTTGGTGGGGGTGGTTAGGTTGATTACCTTCATATCACCCGACTGAAAGCGGTGAGTTTCCTTTAGAGTGAGGCAAACTATATACGTTTGCCTCATTAATTAATTTCTCAACCCAAAGCTTCCTTCCAAGGGTTGGATACTTGCTACACTTTGATTTTGTGAATGATTGATATTGTTAAGGACATTTGGGGTTAAAAATGTATAATGATCTTTTTATTTCTTTGAAGCCTTTAATAAGTAATCAAGGATATTTTTATTATTTGTATCAATTTGATATATCAAATCGATTTGACATATTCAATGTCATGTCAATTCAGTATTATTTTTATTATCCTCATAATTTACCTATAAATATGAAGGTCTAGCACTATTAAGGCTTATTCATCCCACTCCATTTCTCATTTTCTTGCTTCTTTTTGATTTTAATTTTTTTGATTCGTAAAAAACACATTTTGCTTTTACCTCTAACCATCATTTTATTCTCCTTTACTTTTCCAAGAACATCCCTAATTCGTAGCTTGACATCGACAAATATAAATTACTTTTTTAAAAAAAATCATAATTTGAAAATAATAAAAAAATTATAAATATTGAGACTTATATGAATCGATCGAATTAAATTTCAGATTCTTATATAAATAATTTTCTAACATGAATGTATATGAAACTCATTAATACTACAGTGTAATTGTTCAAAATTTATTATTTCTATTTTTAAAACAACTATGTAATATGAAGTATCATATTCAGATTAACCAACGAACTCCTGAATGAATCGTTATTTGCCTTCTCAAACAAACAAGAACTTTGTAATTAATAACATAGTAACATCCTTAACCTACTACTGATGCAGAAAAGTAATGGAGTTGACGATCATTGGAGGAGGCCAGAAAGCGAAAAATGAACCAAAATCTTAAGTTGTTTAATTAGACTTTAAATCTATGAGCTGAACACCTGACATTCTAGAAGTGAGCACATCAGCGCAATGCCGCAATACATAAGCAGACTTGAGTACAAAGTAACAATGAAACACTAAAAAAAAATAACATAACAAGGTTGTGTCACCGACAATGGTTGATGGTTCAATCAATAAGTTAATTGCTTTGATATAAAATTATTTATATCAAATTAAAAAAATATATATATATATATGAAGAATATATTATGAGAGCAAATTTATTCACGAATAGAGTTATTCATTTAACCTGTGAGTTTATTTGATTTGAAATAAGTTTTGAATATGAATTTTAAATTTTGAGAAATAATAATAATCAATGTCTTGAAAGTTTATTTTATTAATAAATTTATTTTTGGTTAATTGTAAATTTAAAATATATTTCAAAATATTAATATTTTAATATATTAAAAAAATTAAGTTTCTAGATCAATCCGACGTCCCATTCCAGTCCGGCTCATGGATGTCACTTAAAAGGCCTTTTAATATATAGCAACTTCCATAAATGCTTCAAACCCTCCTTGGCACTGTGTTTTTTTATATTAATTCATTAATAATTATAGAAATTAAAGCATGATGCAGAGATGGCGACTAACGAAAGATATGGCCTAATTTAAAACCTCATACCAGCGGAGGAGGTGACCTAATGATATAGACTTGAAAATTAACGAGGTTGGTCAAGATTTTAAATCTACTAATTAATCTATAAATCTTTAGGTGTTTAATTAAGAATGATTATGACACCTTGCTTGACTGAAAGAATACTCGAATTCTTAAAAAAGAAAATTCAGAATTTAATCTAAACAGATCATTCGTCTTTTTTAAGAAGTGAATTCTTATAATAATAGGATTCAATTTTCCTGTTTGTATAAAAAAATTCTTAATTAGAGCCAATGAAATTACAATTTAAAAGTAAGAAACAAGTTCTAAAATTCTTTATGCGTTTCTTAATGTTATAATTTATTATTGTAAAAAAAAAATACTCTTAATTGGAAATTACAATTTAAAAGTAAGAAAAAAGTTTTTTTATAATTTCGCAGCTTTGGGTCACAGGAAGTTCGTTCCCTTTCTTTTCCAACAACATCACATTGAGAACTTTTGGGCCATATATCACATTAAGCCTATTGTTTTCAAAAAAGGCCGAAACAGGGAATATTAAATCCCTAATTTTAATAAAGGGCCCAAAATTACCCCTATTGTTAGTCAACTTGTTTTTTCAGCCCAAAACGAGAGAAGAAATAGAATTATAAAAAAAAAAAAAAGAAAAGAAAAACAAATAACTCCTCTTTTCTTCAAATTTTACAAGAATGCAAGAAATATATTGTTGGTTTGCATTTGAAACATATTGGAAGGGAAATTTCTAGCTTTGCTTGGATTGAAAGTTACTTAATTGCATCTTTTCACACCAATTCCAATTTTTGGTCATGAAAGTCCGATAGTGTTCCTCATGGAAACCCTAACAACCATGCTAAATTTTGCATCCTATAGAGTAGATATCTATCTAACCATGCTCAATAAAAAACACTTGTCCCTCTTTTGATTATAGAATTTGGATCTAAACTATGAAAATGATTGTCCTGTTTTCATTACATTTTATAACTGTATATAGTAATATAGTTTAAGAACATGTCGGGAGTGGTATCTTCTTGTTATAAGCTATTAGAGTCTTATAAACCAAATTTAACTCAATCATAAAATTCAATATAAAAAATTATATATTTATCTTTTAAGAGTCTTTTTGGGAGCTTGGAGAGTCGAGGTCTAATCATTAAATGCACCTTTAAATATGGTGAGAACAAGTTTGGTATTTTACGTATTTGTATTAGTTTATTTTATGTATAAAAATATAAAATAAGAAAATTATTATATCATAATTCATATTAATATATTTAATTTTTTTAAAATTTAAATTTATATATTATTTTTATTAAAATTTAAAATTATATCATTTTTCATATCGTTCTTATAACATATCATAGTGTAATGTTTAAAATTATTAACTTGTTGAATAAATCACAAATAGATAGACATTATCAAATCAACTGCATTTCATATCATTTTTATATCGTATTTTTAAGTAAATCGTAAATAAATAGTTATTATCGAATCAACTTGTTGAAATTAATAAAAAAGTCACTTTCTTTTAATTAATGTAGAATTGGCATAAAAATGAAAATGATGTAGACGCTTAAAAGAAATTAAACAAACAAACAAGCAAAAATATATATAGGATCATTTATTGTCAATGGGGGTAGTGAGGATAGTTCAATTACAGTAAATTTAAAAAAAAAAAAAGAAACAAAAGAACATGAAAGATTGAAAATGGCGAAAGACTCCACAAAATTAACAAGCTTTCGGTTACAAGTCAACAATTTAGGCGGCCCAATCTACAGCACGCCTCAATTTCGTTTCCGCTGCTTTTCCGTCTTTGACTTTTGGACTCAGATTCTAACGTGGTCAGGTCAGGTTCATGGAAATTGCACCTTTCCTTCCCTTTTTTTTTTTTTTTTCCAAATCCCACGTGTTCTCTCATTAATCTCTGTTAGTGTTTGGTTTTTTTAAAAAATATTTTTAAAGCAAAAAACCCCTAATTTTGCAGGATTTAGGGTTGTTATAGTTCTGGAAGTGACAATTAAATCAGATCTGATCTGATATTGAATATTTTTATAATTTAAATTAATTTAAATCGAACTATAAAATAATCAAAATGAAGTGATTCGACATAAGAAGTAATTCAAAACCAGAATGATCAAACATTGATGACAACTCGAGCTGAATTGATTAACACATTGAAGCGATGCAACAAATTAAAATCTGTAATTTGTTTGAAAACTTGAAATGATTCGACGAATCAAATCTCTAAAATTATTTATGCCGAAATATGAGTTACAGACCAAACAGATTCAAACCAATTAGTACATGTATATTAGCATATTTAATACCATAACAGGCGAAATTCAAATAGGATTGTGATGTGTTATAAATATACTTGTGAAAATTAGCAAGAAGTGTTAATCCCTATCACACTCGTTAAAGTTTTTTTCTTGTTACTCTTTCTTACCTAATATTTTGATATCCACCAAAAATCGTACTCTCTTACCTAAATTTTGGGTATGCATCAAGAATCCAAAGACTTGAACTTGAAATCGAGAAAATTTGTAAACAACTCCAATAGTTACTCCATACATGAGAAAAATCAAGAATCTCTTTTCTTTCTGATATCCATAAAAAATTGTAGGACTTGGAATTTTAAAATTTGTAGACAACTTTAAAAGGATCAAAGAAGCTGTTAAATAATTGACCAATAAGTAAATTTTTAAATGTTGGTGAAACAAGTATGCATAAATAAAATATGTCACTTATAATTATTGTAATACAATTAATCAATCATAATGTAGTATTGCGTATAATCTATCATAAAATTATATAGAGTTCACATTTTTATGTAGTGAACTTCTATATATTTTTTTATTATAATTGACTAACTATAATATTATAAGAAAGAGAATTATAGATTGAATTTAGTATTGTTATACTATTGATTTTTCAAGGCCGGAAACTAATAGCTTAATTTGAATATTGTTACTTGGTATAATTCTAAGCGGTCAGAGGCAGAGGAGGACTGGACGACCCCTAATTTGGGGTTGCAATGCTCGTGACTGAAATTTGGACCTTTTGCTTCATTTTCCTCATTAAATTATAGGGTTTTGATTTATAAAATGGTAGAATGGCCACAATTAACGAGGGTTGACAAAAGTGATGAGGGATAAATATTGGGTGCTAAATTCGAATTATTCCACAATCTCTCGTTAGTAGACGATTTGTAAGTTTGAAAAATTCGTAATTAAAAATTCAATAAATCTGTAAATTTCAATTGGATCTGATGGCTTATCTTAATTGAAAATAAAATAATTGCTTAAAAAAAAAAAAGAATGGCTGCAATTGGTGCACCAGCCTGGTCTGAGTGTGAACTGTGAAGAGGGTTCAGATGCATCACCATCTTTGCGAGCGTGTGAATTAGTATTATATTTGTCAAGTGATGATCCCTTATCTTGACACATGACAATGTAAAATTTTTATATTCACTTGTATACTTAGATTCCATTTGAGAATTCAATGGGAATGCTTCTATTGCATGGAAGATTCATTTTATGATTGTACCTAAAAAATATAAAAAAGTTGGAAATATATTACCAGTAAAATGACCCCCAAAAAATGCTGTGAAAAGACATATGGTCCAATATACAGGTGATATTCAAACATTTGAAAACATGTACATGGACGAAGAATCACTCAACATAAAATAGTGGATTAGTGATCAAAGTCGAGTTCCATGTAGTTAGAGTTGAAAAAAAATTAAATTCGAATCTTATCCTTGTCGGAAATGTCGTTGGAAATCCATATCAAGATCATGGAATAAGATTTGGATATAATAATTTTTTTAATTACATATGATATTGAACTATATAATGAGAGATAGTCCTTTTTTATTTTTTTCACTTCATAAATTATCTCACTCAATCATATCAAAATTTGAATTCATGCTTTTCGTTTGGAAACTTTATACTTTAAACTTTTATTATTGGACCTTATATCCTCACCATATATTTAAAAAAAAAAAGTTTGGTTAATGTATACCTTAAAGCACTATTTTAGATAAATTAAAATATTTTTATAATAATTATGATAATTTACAATTAATGTTATAAATTTTATTTTTAAAAATAAATTATTTAATATAATATCTTAAAAAAATACCCTTCAAACATCATATACTAAAAAATTGGCAAGTTAAGAAATTTGTCCAAAATAATAACTTTATCGTACACTCAATGCTAAAAAATGACCCAAAAAAATAAAATAACTTCTCTCAATAATTTCAAAAAATAAAAATCTCAATAAATTATATATTGATAAAACCTTATAACTATTATTATGGATCAGACGGCTTAGAACAAAGTGTTGACCCGATCTTCCCCATGTCCCAACCTCCCTAAGACCAATTGAACCTGTCGGGCCCCACTAATTAGTCCCAGACATTAAGTCAATGTCCCCGACGTATAAATTATCCTATAATTAACCAAAATCTAGAATATTAAACAGAAGAAATTTGAGAAAAAGATTGTAAATAAAAGAACATTTTGGTCTTAACGCTTACTAGATCATACTCAGAGTTTTTTTTAATTATTTTTATTTTGATGTGGTTGGATCTTATTCGTACCCACATTTTACGGCAAATGCTCAGATGACAGGTATGTTACCTAATTGACCAATAGGGGTTCCATAGCCGATAGCATCATTTTGACCAATGTCCAGCATACTCTTTATCAACGACCCCTCTCTCTTCGTTTTCTTTTCACGCTTTTATTTTTCTTGCTTTGAATGGTTTTATTGCAGACATGGCCGTGGAGCAACAGCTTCACAGCCAAAATGGAAGAAAACGCAGTCCAAGAAGCAGCTTCCGGGCTTGAAAGTGTTGAGAAACTCATCAGGTTACTTTCTCAAACTCAACAACAGCAAGATGATACTAGTAATCAAGAAAAATATCAATCTTCTCCGATCTCTACAAGATCCTCCTTGGATTTAGAAATGGACTGCAAAGCTGCAGCAGACGTTGCCGTCTCAAAGTTCAAGAAAGTTATCTCTCTTCTGGGTCGAACCCGGACTGGACATGCTCGTTTTAGAAGAGCTCCTGTAGCACCACCTGTTGCTACTAATACTGAAACTATTTCTCCCCCTGTTAACCAAAACCAAGCAAATCAAGAGCACGAACGTAAGGTTTATTACGCAAAGCCGATCCAGCAGATTCCATCACCGGTTACTTATCATTCTCATCATCATGATTTTTTGCCTGTGAAAAGTGGGTGTTTAGAGATGAAAGATTCATTAACAACCGTCACTTTTTCATATTCTTCTGCTGGGAATTCGTTTATGTCATCCTTGAGTGGAGATACTGATACCAAGCCGCCATCTTCATCATCTGCGTTTCAAATTACTAATCTTTCTCAGGTTTCCTCGGCTGGGAAGCCTCCTTTGTCTTCTTCTTCTTTTAAGAGGAAGTGTAGCTCTGAGAACTTGGGTTCTGGCAAGTGCAGTGGCTCTTCTGGTCACTGCCATTGCTCTAAGAAAAGGTACATACACATCCATCTTTTTCTCTTTCTTTTACATGTTATCAATTTAAGCTCTTTTTCTTACTTAAGTTGTTTTGGCCTTTGACAGAAAGATGAGATTGAAAAGGGTTGTAAGGGTTCCAGCAATAAGTCTGAAGATGTCTGATATTCCACCAGATGATTACTCATGGAGGAAATACGGTCAAAAACCGATAAAGGGATCTCCACATCCAAGGTATATTTTCATGAAATCTTCTATATATATTTCTTGTTTTTGAGTAAATTAATCTTTGAATATGAACAAGTTGATTGGTATGTTTTCAACTTTTGATTAGAAAAATTTCCGTAAGTTTCACACTTTCCATTCATTTTCTGTCAAAGCAAAAAGATAGTTAAATTCAGTTTAGTTCCCCCAAGTTTTATTTCTAACGTGTTTTTCTTTTTGTCTGCCGTTGAATTATGATTGAACAGGGCTTACTATAAGTGCAGTAGCGTTAGAGGATGTCCAGCTCGCAAACATGTGGAAAGAGCTTTAGATGATCCAACGATGCTAATAGTCACCTATGAAGGAGAGCATAACCATTCTCTCTCTGTTGCAGAAACCACCAATCTCATCCTGGAATCTTCTTAGGACGAAAAACATTTCAATGCAGCAAAATCCCCATTTCTCAGTTAATCTCGAAGGAGATTTTTAGTGGGTTCGTTCATTTCCCTGTAAAATATATGGGATTTCTTTCCTTCGTTTTCTTTTGGATTTTACAATTATCAAAGAGAGAAATTGCGTTTCAATTTCCATGCCATCTTTTTTTTTTTTTAATTCGTTTGCTTTGATCATTTCTTTGGGCTCTTGTTTCAGATGCCTACTACATACTTTTAATTTTCTTTTTCTTCCATCAATGAAGCAAAATTTCCAGATTTAAATAGTAGAAAAAGCAGAAAAGAAATTAAAAGAAAAGGACTCAGTCAAACAATTGGAAAGATGTGGACCAATATGTCGTGTTAGGAGCGTTTGACTATAACTACAGTTAGGTGTCGGGCATAGATTCTTTTAAAATTTTTAATGCAAATATTATTTTTTTAGTTGGGGGTTTGTTTGGATTCTAGGAAAAAGGTTGGCTAAATTTGGAGAAAAATGGAGACAAGGATTGTTACTCTAATCTAATGAGAAAATGAAATTATGTCAAAGTCAAAAGGGGTGGGTGGAGAATTGTTAAGTTTTTTGGCGTTTCCTCAATCTTGTTAACAATTTTGTTCTTTGCTTGCTTAGCCTTTTTCTCTACGTTGACAATGGTCCCCACTCCTTCATTATTATCAAATTTATCATTGTAAAATTTGTGATGTGATAATATAAACTAATCCATTTGGAATAGGGAGTAATGATAAATGATTAGAAATAAAGTTATATCAATACATGTTTCTTTTTTTTTTTCCGAAATTTTGTTATCAAGTTTAAGAACATATTTCATCATTATTGAAAAATATATATATATATATATTTTAAATCTTTCGTTTTTTATTTAGTGACAAAAAAGCTTTAAAAAATATATTAAAATTTGAGTTCGAATTAAAATTTTTTTTTATGCAATAGGATGTTGTTTTTCTTTGAAACCAAAAATATATATATATTTTAAAAAAAAGTAGCTGTAAAATGCTTGAAAGACTAGCCAAAAGAAGAAACAAAAACCCGACCTATCATTTAAGATTTTTACTAAGGATCCATGTAAAGGCTTAAATCAAAATTTTTAAGTGATATTCATAAAATTTTTTATTTAAAATAGTTAAATTAAAATTAAAATTAAAAATTTCTTATATAAATTAAATTTGTAAAATTTTAATAAATTTTAATAAATTTTGATATATATATTTAAATAAATATTTTTATTAAAAATATTAATATAATTTTTATTATTAAATAAATATCAATCAAATTTTAATTATAAATAATATTTTTAATAATTTTTATATTATATTATATTAATTTATCGATTTAAAGTTTTTATTAAAATTTTTATTAAATCATTTTTAAAAAAATTCTACAAACTTCATTTTTTGTCCACGGAGTTGGGCCTCTTTGATCGATTCAAACTCGTTTCAGGCCGGACTAAATCCAAAATCAGGGTATTTCCTAATTTACAGGATAAACTCAAATATGCGAAGATGTTGGAGGATGCTGGTTGCTCTCTGTTGGCTGTTCATGGCCGAACAAGGGATGAGAAAGATGGGAAGAAGTTTCTAACTGATTGGAATGCCATTAAAGCTGTTAAAAATGATCTTAGAATCCCAGTTCTTGCCAATGGGAACATTAGGCACATGGATGATGTTCGGAATTGTCTGGAAGAGACAGGTGCTGATGGGGTGCTTTCAGCTGAGTCTCTTCTTGAGAATCCTGCTCTTTTTGCTAGATTCCGAACTGCAGAATGGGTAGCTGATAATGAAAAAAGAGAATATGGATGGTAAACTAGACCAGGCGGATCTGCTTGTGGAGTATTTGAAGCTATGTGAAAGATACCCTGTCCCATGGCGGATGATCCGATCTCATGTGCACAAAATACTAGGAGACTGGTTTCGGATTCAGCCTCACGTTAGAGAGTATCTAAATACACAGTCCAGGCTAACATTTGAATTTCTTTACAATCTGGTGGATCGGTTACGGGAGTTGGGTGTAAGAGTTCCACTTTATCAAAAGGATGCATTTTCAGCCAGAGAAGCTCAGATGAGGGTGTGGCTATTTGATTGGCATGGCCCATGTTATCGAGTTGTAGGAGCCTAGAAGATAGGGAAAATCAGATTCTGCTTTCAGGTTTACCTCTAACTCCACAATTTGATTTGTTGTTCTTTCTTAATTCAAACAATATACAGTTCTGATGAATAGGCAAAACAGGAGGGCTTTTGAGCTAAAAGAAAGAATGCCCTAATAATTTTTTGGTAGAAGATTATGAATTTACCCTTGTTTTTTTGCTAGAGCACTGAAGACAGTGTATTCGATTTGCCATTGTACAACGAAAATTTTGAAGATCGGTTATTAGGACGGTAAATTTTGATTAGGAACAAGTCAAGAAGGCAAGAGATCAGTTCTTTTACCCTCAATCAAATCACAGACTCTGTTTAAACAATTATTATCAATGCAACTTAGAGACAATTTCAAGTCAATGAACAATGAGACGATGGGACCGAAAACTATAACCTCTACGCTACAAAGTTTGTTTGAACTTAAATGGTCACCATAAACAGCTTTTCCAAACTTCCGAGTTCCAAACAACTTTTCCAAACTTCCGGCCGTTTGCAAAATCAATAATTTTGAGGACCATTTGTAAATTTTAACCTCATAAAAAAAGGCGACACAGACTCGATGATCGGAGGGTTGACTCGCATGAACCATACGACTGTATCTGCGGCTGCACCAAGCTTGTAGGTTGTAGGTATGTATGATGTAGTAGACACAAAATAGAAAAACTCCTATAAAGATTTGAACCCACTTTTAGCATGGAGTCGAAGTCAACGTACCTTCAACATATCACCAATGTTGCAGCTAAATGTTCCAGGAATCCAAGGAGCCGTGATCCACTCACCAGATTGGTTAATTTCTCACTTGCACAACTTATGTAGACCGTTAGTCTTATTCTTTTCTCTACTCAATTTTATTTTTTTTTATTTGTCATTACACATTTATTTGTTTATTTATTTGGCTGTTCTCATCTTACTATACAACTCAACTTTGCAAAAAAAAGCTACTGAAACTCCCCTTTGTAACTCTGCTTTTAATTGCTTATCTGTCAAAGAATCATTATTGAAGGACCAAAAAAACTTTAAAAAAGGTAAATAAAAAGAAACAAGAAAATTATACTAATATGGGGATATATAATATCACACCCTTTTTACATTCATTTAATTATATTAAATCACACATACTTTTAGAATTGGTTCATACATTTATTTAATCTTGAGCCTCATCAAGATTGCTTGTGATTAAGTAGATATGATCCAGCTTAAAGGTCAAAGAGAATATATATGGTTTTGGAGTCACTTGTATACCTTCAACATGTCACCAATGTTGCATACAAATGTTCCTGGAATTGGAGTTGCTGGTGTCCATTCCCCAGACAGGTTTCTCACCTGCAACAGTGATTAAGTTTTTTTTTATTGTAATTATAAAATTTGAATGAAGTTTGCATCTTCATTGATGGATGTTAAAGTTATATATCACCTCGAGTGCGGTTATGTCATCATCTTGATTAATCAAGGTTAACAGACCATAGTCAGTGTGAATGCCGCTGAAATTGTTTGGCCGCAAGACATGGATATAAAGAAGAAACAAAGAAAAAGATTTTCACATTAGCCTGTGTTGGCTGGTAAGGAAATGAAGAAGAAATTAATGGTTTACATATAATTTGTTGAATTATTGATTAATTGTTACCATCCAATGTCGTTTTCTTGGCCATTTGCTGGTGATATTCCAGGGTATCCAATAAGACGCATTACCCAAAATGCATCTCCGCCTCTTTCACCTTCAAATTCATCTGCTGATCCACCCACTGCCAGAGCAACTCCCCTCATGATTTTTCTTGAAAGATCTGAAGAATAGATCACCAAAATGCCAAATGAATAATTAAATTTCTAGATCAGATAACTGATCATGAGAAATATAGTGATCAGCACACAAAAATGGCGAAGTAGAAAATATTGAATGTTTTAAGCAGACAAGTATGCAAGAGAATTGCCTGTGCAAAGTCTGATATACTCCTCCATAGATGCTTTGAAGTTTGCAGGATCTTGTGGCCTGCAGCAAAATGGTAGATAATTAAGGTGAAGGAAAAATGCAAAATTCACAATATTTTCACTACTCTAAAATTTACTGCAAAATCAATTATACATTCTTAACTTACCATTGGTTACATCCTTCCAAAATCTCGCCAAGTGTTCCATACATCCCTCTTTTTACTTCTCTATAGTACTGTCATAAAAAAAAAAACCCACCATACGTAAAGTTAGTATTAACTTGAGGAGATAAGCTGAAATTTGAATATTTTCTTTGATTTTCTGGTATCCCATGTAGCATTATAATATATTTTGTCAATTTTATAAGCAACATTTTTTAAAAGTGGGTGCTGATCAATTTTTGGCCATCGAAAAAACAATGGTGGCAAAATGTACTGTCATTTTATCTCAATGGAAATCAATTATATAACCTGCATCCGCTAGCCGGAGTCATTTTGATTTTGAGCTTTTCATCGTAGGGAAGCGCAAAAATTTTGTGAGTAACATCTTTGACCTCCTTGATAAGGGACTCGGGAACACCATGACCCTTCTGTTTGATGACCATAAATATTTATGTAAGAAGAAAAACAGTGATATTTCATATCTTCAAATGTAATTTCTTTAGTACGAAATTTAGTCTTTAATCGATATGTTGATTGCTGAATATAGTAAAGAGACAGATATTGAGGAACAAAACAAGATTAATGATGGAGAAAGTATGTACCGCGTAGAAGAATCCAGTCTCTCTGCAAGCCTAATTCAATTGCTTGACGACGTCACATTAAGGATGTAATTGATTGAATTTCAGTCAATACAATATCAAGTTTGAGTTCGATTTGAAATTCGAGGCTTGAAAATTGATTCGAATTCGATCGAATTTTATTTTTTTAATTCAAATTCGACTCGAGATAGAAATCGAGCTATTTGAGTTCGTTTAATTATGCTCAATTAACATATAAAAATAAGCTCGATTTTTTATATTCTACAAAAACTCGATTACTTATGTTCGAATTCGAGTTCGAGATATTTTATTAATTA